CAACAATATAAACAAAATATATAAAAACTAGCCGTAAACAGGGACATAAACAGTTACACAGCGGCGCCACAATACGGGACTACATAACTAAAAAGCACGAACAGTTTACGACATGAAATGAAACGATACATTCGCCTTTTTAAGTTACATATAAATAATAATAACACTCCAGCCACTCACATTAATAACGAGTTAGAACCACTCAAATGACACAATGTATGTTTTTGTTTATTTTTTTACATGACCCCATCAGAGGATCGGACAGTGAGATCACGCATTGATAACGCATCATTGATCAAATCCTCTTTAAATATTGCGTCAGACTTTCTTCTGAGAGCGCTTCAAATTGCAGGACGGGTACGCTAGATCGTATAATATTATGTCATCATCATTATTCCTTTGTGGCCCCTGGGGAGCAAAGGGCTGCAGCCACACATCTCCATCGGTCTCGGTTTTGGGCTGTCCCCTTTATCTGTGCCCATGTGTGCCCAGCTGCTTTCGCCTCTTCTTCAACCGTTCTTCTCCATGTCTTTTTTGGCCGGCCCACCCTCCTTTTTCCCTGAGGATTCCAGTCTAAAGCATGCCTTGCGATGTTTTCTTTTTCCTTTCTTAATGCGTGTCCGATCCATCCCCATTTTCGGGCTTGGACATCTGTCTATATCGGCTGTTGCTTTAAAGTTCGCCACAGGTCTTTGTTTGATATTTTGTCTGGCCATCTTATCTTATATATAAATAATATTATGTAGTGGGGTGGTAATTATATTATACGTGGGGGGGGGGGGGGGGGGGGGGGGGGTAGAATACAATGACCCTTTGGAAATTACTGTTCCCTGAACGTAATGCTCTGGTTTCAACTGTGCCTGAACGTAATGCTCTGGTCTCAACTGTACCTGAACGTAATGCTGTGGTCTCAACTGTACCTGAACGTAATGTTGTGGTCTCAACTGTACCTGAACGTAATGCTCTGGTCTCAACTGTACCTGAACGTAATGCTCTGGTCTCAACTGTACCTGAACGTAATGCTCTGGTCTCAACTGTACCTGAACGTAATGCTCTGGTCTCAACTGTACCTGAACGAGATTTGCAGGCACAAACGAGATTTAGAATTTTTTGTTCTGTCTACGCGTGAAACGAGACTGATCAACTCTTTGAAGCAAATTGTAATGAATTCATTAACGTCATTAGCGCTTAATTGCTTGAATAATTGATCAGGCTGCGAACACGTGCGTCACAAAACAGCACTAAAAGAATCAAAGATCCCAGGACTGGCATTTGTTTGCTGATTTAGTTTCGCTGATCGCAGTGACTGTGACAGATAGAGTTTGAAATGGTTGACCTATCGGTTCCCATCAACTCGGCCACTAGGTCACGATGAGCGAATGATTTTCACTGCGGATGCATAAATATATGGGACACGTCTGTAGATCACATCAGCTATCTTGAGATGTTAAAGGGGACAAATATTTGAATGACATCAGCCATCTTGAGATGTTAAAGGGGACAAATATTTGAATGTAGTCAGCCATTTTGAGATGTTAAAGGGGACAAATATTTGAATGACATCAGTCATCTTGAGATGTTAAAGGGGACAAATATTTGAATGACATCAGCCATTTTGAGATGTTAAAGGGGACAAATATTTGAATGACATCAGCCATTTTGAGATGTTAAAGGGGACAAATATTTGAATGACATCAGCCATCTTGAGATGTTAAAGGGGACAAATATTTGAATGACATCAGTCATCTTGAGATGTTAAAGGGGACAAATATTTGAATGACATCAGTCACCTTGAGATGTTAAAGGGGACAAATATTTGAATGACATCAGTCATCTTGAGATGTTAAAGGGGACAAATATTTGAATGACATCAGCCATTTTGAGATGTTAAAGGGGACAAATATTTGAATGACATCAGCCATCTTGAGATGTTAAAGGGGACAAATATTTGAATGACATCAGTCATCTTGAGATGTTAAAGGGGACAAATATTTGAATGACATCAGTCACCTTGAGATGTTAAAGGGGACAAATATTTGAATTACATCAGTCATCTTGAGATGTTAAAGGGGACAAATATTTGAATGACATCAGTCATCTTGAGATGTTAAAGGGGACAAATATTTGAATGACATCAGCCATCTTGAGATGTTAAAGGGGACAAATATTTGAATGACATCAGCCATCTTGAGATGTTAAAGGGGACAAAACTGTGGATGATATCAACCATCTTGATGTCTTAAAAGGTGAAAAACTTGTGGATGACAGCAGTCTTCTTGATGTGATTAGGGCGACTTATGACGACACAATGGGCGTGATAATGACGAGCTTGAGTACAGTGGAAGTCGACTCGTGAACCAGCACCCAGACGGCAGCTAATTGCTGGGTGTCGCAGGAGGGTACCACGTGACCAGAGCGTCCATTAACGAGATCCATCAGGCTGATAAACTAAAACTGAACACACGAATGCCCTTTGATGTGTGAGTGCAGGTCTGTTGACGTAACTGTTTGGCAATGCGAATCTCGTCAAACAAATTGCGACTTGCTCGGTTTGACGAGGTTAGCTCGAGGAGTGTCGCTTGTAACCTGCTGAGAGAAGCTGTGTCGTGTAACAAGAACAGTAACTCATCTTTTTTTAATATAAGCTTTTATTTCATTTACAGCGTCTGTTCATTTGTTTGTAGTTTTGTGGCGAATCTTTTAACTAATTTTTGACCCACTTCTGATGCCGCCATTAAAACTTTCCAGATATGTTTATCTCCAGTGACAAGACAAAAATATCTAGTTTTTAGTCTAGACCAGGGGTCGGCAACCTGCGGCTCGCGAGCCGCATGCGGCTCTTTAGGTGTCAAGATGCGGCTGTTCAGCTCGATGCACAAACATAAATAATTATTTTATTTTATTTTTAATACTCATAAATGTATTAGTCTGCAACACTCAGTAATGAACGATATAATAATAAATATAAACATTAAACACTCGCTATTCTATTAGAACATTTAGTTACTCGATATTTCAATGTAGAACTACTTCCTTGTTTCCTAAAACGTGAGTTATTTTAATGTAAACAATTCCTGTGTTTGGATCATATTTATATGGGCACTGGTTTCCTACACTACCGCCCACCAACATGTCGTGCTGTATGAAAGCCTTGAGTGTAAGTTAATCACTCACCGTAATATCACCGTTAATCACTACCGACGGTAAGTGGCGCTCTCGTGAATCCGATAACACTATCGCCGGGGCGCCGCGTACGGCCTCTTTCTCGGTTTAATTATCGAATGTCGGAATGTCGTTTTATAGTGTGCTTCTTAAAACTAAGGTAGACGCTTAGTGCTCACGGGATATATATATATATATGTATATATATATACATATATATATATATATACATATATATAAACATATATATATGTACATATATATATATACATATATATATATGTATATATATATATATATATATATATATACATATATATATATATATATATGTATATATATATATATATATATATATATATATATATATATATATATATATATACACATGTATATATATATGTATATATATATATATGTATATATATATATATATATATAAATAATATTTATACTAAATCCAAATTAAAGATAATAATATTAATAATAATAATATAAAAATGTTGGCGGCTCTTTAAAAACTTGGAAATTTTGAAAATTGTCACTTTTGGCTCTTCTGTCCAAAAGGTTACCGACCCCTGGTCTAGACATTTGGCTGGTCATTAAAATTTAATAGAAATAATTAAAATATTACTAACTTCAATGACGAAAGGATGGATAACCAGATAAAATACTAGCGATTGCTTTACCAGCAAAGCAACGATACGACGATAGTGACCTGTTTTGTTCACACACGGACTAAGCAGGGGCAGATAATTTTCTTTCAGATCGGGTTTTAAAGCAAGTACTTAGTCGTACTGAATGTCAACTTTATTTAGAATGAACTACTAAATAGTGAAAATAAAACATAAAAAAAAACTTTATTATATTAACCTTTTAAAAGCACCAAAATAAGAAAATAATAATAATTTACTTTTTTTAGAGAAAAAAGCATTAGTCGCTCGCACATTTTGGCGACCAATGCTTTTATTAAAGAAAACAAATCCGTTTTATTTATTTGTTTTAAGTGCATCTAAAAGCTTATCATTATAAGGTTTTTATAATTGTTTTATTAGTTGATACTGGACACATGTGGGCATTCTTTGGCAGAGGGTGTTACGGTACATCTACATAGTTATATGATTACTGTGAAGGGTTGTTGATTGTGTCAAAACAGTTGTGTCTCATCACGTAGATATTCACTGACCTACGTGTCTAGCCACCTTTTCATATTTTAAAAATAACGAATACTAGATACGGAGATTGAATAGGTTATCTTAAAGTACATTTTCTGATTTTTCCAAGCGTAGACTGTAGTCACCTAGATACCATGTTCGTGACACATTCCCCCCCCCCCCCCCCCCCCCCCCCCCCCGTAAAACAGTACTCTTGTTGTGTAAACTATTTTGACCAGCGCGTGGCTGACATGACAGGTCCTAATTCATTTATCGATTAGATGATCATGGTTGTATGGGAGCATTAATCAAAGTGAATATAACATTAGGCCGCAAAGGGAATAAGTCGATCTTCAATTGATTGAAGTCATTCTAAATATGCCAATCTTGATTAACTTATGGATAAACAACAGTGTCTGGAGTCGTGTTGAAACAGTAATACGGTTCTAACTAACAAGTTTTCAATTTCATTAGACTAAATAAAACTACCCATACCTCTAACCTTACAAGACTGGGTGTAGGGAGAAAACAGCAATCCTAAATCTCATGCAAGCCTTACTTTTTGTGTGTGTGGACCTACTAATATTTCTTTATCTTTAAAAAACCGGAATGAATGAAATGGCTTTGAAATAGATGAAAAAAAAAAACCAAACAGGAATAGCAATAAAAACAATAATATGAACAAACCATGAAAACATTAAATTTATTATTTCCCAAATATCTGAAAAGCATAACAAATTTAACAAACATATTGTACAACTTTTGATTACAGAAGCAAACAGCAAACGGTCTCACTACAAATGTAGTCAACATTATAAAAAGTATTAATTAGCCCATTGTATAATGTACATCATCTTGGTACAACAATGTTACACCTCTATAATATTAATACTGTCATCAAATAGCTGAACATCAATTTAAAACCAAGACAAACTAAAGATGAAAGTAGTTAAGTTCTTTAAAACGTTTAAGAAAAAAATTTACATAATTTTATATACACGACTTTCAAGCAAATAAATCTTATTGCTGGGGTATTAATTAGTAGTTGTTTTTTTAAAGTAAAATCTCACAGGATAAGAGGCAACGGATTTTTAAATTTTGATTTTAATTGTATATAAGGCACTCTAAAGATTTAGACTAGTTTACCATAGGGCAGACAAAAAAGCTGTACAAGACAAACTCAATTAGATTGTCAAGACAAGGCAATAAAGACCTGACTTTCCATACAACATCTGGATGCTGTGATTTGCATTAAATAGTTTGGTGTAGGACATCATGCTCACATAATGAACAGAAAGCACACACAACACCATTAAGCTGTATAGATCAGTGAACACGTGACATCTCACTCAATCTCAGTGAAACAATAGAGGAAGGTAAACAGCTTATACAATAAGAAGTTATTTACAGGTCAGGTTTGTTCTAGTCACAAGCCAAAGCTGGCTAACACAGACATGCCTTGCAATGTGATGCTCAGATCAACAGAGGAATCAAGCTAACACTGGGCCCTCTGCTTCAGGGCTCACTATCTGAGGTCCTTCTGTCATGGGCCCCTCTGTCGTTAAGTCATCTGTCTTAAGGCTCTCAACAGCAGGGCACTCAACTTCAGGGATATCCGTCTTTGGGCTTTCTGTTTCTTCACTTTGTCCATCATCATCAATTCCAAAATCAAGTTTGTAAAAATCAACAACTTCTGTGGCATCACCAGCCTCATCTACCATCTTAGGTGGAGAGGTGTCAACTGCTGGCTCTTGTGTACACTGCCAACAGAGATCAGCTACTTAGTACTACAGAACTGACACATTCACTGCCAACAGAGATCAGCTACTTAGTACTACAGAACTGACACATTCACTGCCAACAGAGATCAGCTACTTAGTATTACAGAACTAACACATTCACTGCCAACAGAGATCAGCTACTTAGTACTACAGAACTGACACAACACACATACACTGCCAACAGAGATCAGCTACTTAGTACTACAGAACTGACACAAAACACATTCACTGCCAACAGAGATCAGCTACTTAGTACTACAGAACTGACACAACACACATTCACTGCCAACAGAGATCAGCTACCACAACACACTTGTTTAACCACAACACACTTGTTAAACTAAGCACACATTCACTGAATTAATTATAATCACATAGACCCCAACCCTCCCCATGGGTCCACAAAATCACTCCCTTTAAAAGTAAAAAAAAGTGAACTAATCCATTTTTAAATTTATCAAATGTTTTTTACAGAAATTAACTCAACAATTTACCTTGTATTTCGAGTGGTTAGAAAATTTCATTGTTTTCCCCAGTTCAATCAAATTTAATAATTACGTTATAAAAACTGACCATGCTAGTAAGACCTAAACCCAACAGATGTATTAAAGATCTAACATCCAGTCAAACAGATCCACTAAGACTTAACAACCCTACAAACAGGTTTACTAAATACCTAAAATACAGCCACCACTCACCTCAGTAGTGTCTTCATGGAAAGAAGGGGGATCAGAATCCACAGCATCACCTTCATCTAAAAGTAAATAAAAGGTCAGAGGTCAAAACAGTGGCACTAATTAACATTGGGGAAGTATTTGCATATTACATTTTAAATGTTCAATAGAAAGAAGATAACATTATTGCATATTGTTTTGTTAATCAACATTTAATCAAATTTATAATTAAATCTGATGAAATAAATTGTACAAAATTATCTTAACCTGTGAGGTTAACAATTAAGAAGTAAAAACAAAACATTAGCAAACAGAAACAAAGGAAATAGTTATTCATCCTTGTAGCAACAAGTAATTCAATTATCTTATTTAAAAGCTGTAAAAATACAAATATTAGTAATAAATAAAAACATATGGGGAAAACATGCATAATTAAGTGGAAAAAAAATGTGCATTATTCAATTATACAATAAAAAATAGATTAGTAAATTAAATTCAAGGTCCAGATTCAAACATTAGTACTAAACAGTAACCAATGGCCTAGACCTACTCTTTGGCATAGTAGAACACAGCATTGGTTGACCCCTAGTGCCATCAGTGCTGTAAGATTCAAGAGGTCGTGGGTCAAGAAGGGGCCCATCTACTGTAGGCTTGGTGTTCAGATCATCAGCTGGCCACAAGTCAGACATGTCAGACAGTTCAGAGCTGTCAGAGTGTGGCTGGTCAGCTGGCATGTATGTCTCATCAACATGAGAAGAAATATCAGCATCATACAGGCTGTGGATGGCATTAGCACCTGACAGATCATAAGGGTCAAGGCTGGATACAGAATCGTCTGGACTAGTGCTGGAGTGGGAGACACCATTGCTGGGTTTAGTGGTCAGGCTGTTGTTCAAGTGGCCATTGGCAATTGAGTCGAGAGATGTGTTGGATGTGGTCACATTGAATGTAGCTGAAGAGGTGGTGTAGGAGGAGGATGAGTCATCATCAGCAGATACTTGAGGCAAGCTCTCAGTATTTCCACCAGTTCTATGCCCTGCTTCATCTACAACTTGTGGGGTAGCTGGCCTAGAACTACGCATAGCATGTGGTTCTTCTGGTTCAGTTACTCCTTGGGTTGATGTTTCTGCCTCTGTTGTTTGCTGGGTTGATGTTTCTGCCTCTGTTGTTGCTTGGGTTGATGTTTCTGCCTCTGTTGTTTGCTGGGTTGATGTTTCTGCCTCTGTTGTTTGCTGGGTTGATGTTTCTGCCTCTGTTGTTTGCTGGGTTGATGTTTCTGCCTCTGTTGTTTGCTGGGTTGATGTTTCTGCCTCTGTTGTTTGCTGGGTTGATGTTTCTGCCTCTGTTGTTTGCTGGGTTGATGTTTCTGCCTCTGTTGTTTGCTGGGTTGATGTTTCTGCCTCTGTTGTTTGCTGGGTTGATGTTTCTGCCTCTGTTGTTTGCTGGGTTGATGTTTCTGCCTCTGTTGTTTGCTGGGTTGATGTTTCTGCCTCTGTTGTTTGCTGGGTTGATGTTTCTGCCTCTGTTGTTTGCTGGGTTGATGTTTCTGCCTCTGTTGTTTGCTGGGTTGATGTTTCTGCCTCTGTTGTTTGCTGGGTTGATGTTTCTGCCTCTGTTGTTTGCTGGGTTGATGTTTCTGCCTCTGTTGTTTGCTGGGTTGATGTTTCTGCCTCTGTTGTTTGCTGGGTTGATGTTTCTGCCTCTGTTGTTGCTTGTGTTGATGTTTCTGCATCTGTTGTGGCTTGCATGGATGTTTCTGCTGCAGGTGTTCCATATAGTGATATGTCTGTAGACAGCATTGATGTGTCAATCTCTGTACCGTCCAGCTCTGAACTATCCAGGTCAGTGGTGACCATCCAGGGAGAAATTTCAGAGTTCTCATCCAAGCATGATGAGTCAAAACCTGCACCAAAACATGACGAGTCAACATCTTCCAGGTACGATGAGTCAAAATCTGCGCCAAAGTATGATGAGTCTAACCCTGTGGTATTGCAGCTGGTGATGCACAGAGAAGAACCAGCAAAGGAGTCAGTGAAGACAAGACTGGATGTATCATAGCAACTGGCATCATCCTCATCATCATCTTGGCTGCTTGGTTCAATACAGCTCTCATACCCATCCACTGTGGGACCTTCCCAATCAGCTTTAGATGGATATTTCTCTGCAGTTTCCTCTACAGCTGATGACAAAAATCTATCAGCTGTCAGTGGCAGTAAGCCCATATATGAGACATCTGCTGGTTCCAAACTCCTGGCACACTGATCAGAGCAAAAATCACAAGGTTCAGTTGGGGCGACATTGCCAGTGTCATACCCGTAACGCATACCTGTACATCTTTTTACAACAGCAGTATCCCCACCTTGGTTTTCTTCAATGCCAGATGGGAGACAGTCATTAGGCTGTGATGCACTGTGTGAGACATGTCTCACTTCTGGACTCAGTAAAACTCGCTGGTCATCATCTGCTGTCACCTGACAATCATGGCTAACTTTCTTTCCTTTATCTCTGGACAGGCAAGTTTTTATTTGACCAACTGCATGAGTGAGCTCATCCAAAGTGACAACACACTCTTGTGTGGCCAGCTCAACATCCAGGTTCAGATCCTCCAGCTCCCTGACCAAGTCAGTCAGGTCTAGACCTGACAGTTCAACAATGCCCAACACCTGCAGAGATTTGGATGTGAGTAGGATTTTGTTGTTCACTTCTGTCAACCCTTGTATTACTTCCTGGCAGTGAGTTCTCAGCTTGACTACAAAAGAGTCATCAAAAAGATATTTGGGCACCCCACCATCAGACTTGATTCCTGGACAAATGATCTGGCAACATTGAACTGTTTTATGTCCATCACAGGTGGCAGAAGTTTTGTCTGCTGCTGTGTTGATGCTACCAAAACCTGTCAGTGATTTAACCTGCGTTTGTTCAGTTGTGTCAATTACTGCTGAAACTGTAAGGGATAAATAGTCACAAAAAACATGCATCTTTTTATTCTAATAGCTGAAAGTAATAGCAATATAGTATAAGAAATATAAGCATGTAAGATTGTAAGCTTAAGCAGATGGACAGTAAAGAAAAACAACAAAAAATGTAATTATTATTCCAAATTTAAACATTTCCCTAGAGACGTTCTAAGCAACGTAAACAAGGGATCTTCCTGGTTGGTCATGGGTGTCATCCACTGAATTATTTAATTTTTTTTGGCTCTATTTGGTATAGTGTTTTAACTCTACCCAGCACTAAAATAAACTGAAGGTGGGCTACATTCTGTGACTAAGTCCAAGAACAATTAAAACTTATAGTATTACATAAACATTCATTCTTCAGCTGGTGACTTAAAATATTTGGTAATTTTGGAAGTGGGACTGTTCTGGAACTAGTTGGGTCATTCAAAGAAAGTGATTGTTATACCACAAGTGATAACTTTTAATTGTATGTGGCCACAGAAAAGACAAACAGGATGGCTCTGCTGGCATGCATTTTATTTTGGAAATTTTGAGGTAGATGATCACAGGAAATACAAAAAAAAAAGAGGATGCAGCTACCACATCCTTTATGAAGAAATGTGTATGTAGTCTTATCAATTTATCATAGCAGAAGGTGCTTATTCATGCTAAAAATACTAGATCTATATACAAATAACTAACAGCAAAGAGATCATTATGGGTTGTCCTTAACAGCTAACAACAAGCTATTTCAGCTCATTTTATCCATGTCACCTGTATAAGGCCAAACACCCACTCTGAAAATGACATCACCCCCACCCCATAATTTATAAAAAGAAAAGTTTAAATAAATAACACAAAGCCTCCCTTTTACCCCTTACATGGTTTATCACCATGAAAGCAGTCTAAATCCCTCTCCCCTCTGTAGGGTTATTTTTTATTTTTTTTTTACAATATGCTGTATGTGTGGTACTGTTCTAATACCATAAAAGACTAATCTGTTTGGTTGTGTATAGTACCCACATTAATTTTCTAAATAAAAGTGTATACAAGTGGATTCCACCCATGACATCCTCCAAGGCTGCTAAATCACAACATAGGGTAAAGGTTAAAAAAACAACAAAAAAAAAAAACAACTAAAATATAAAACATCTGGCTGATGTATTGGTCTAGCATTGGATTAGTCTAGGCTACAATTACTATACACCAACTACATGTAATTGCCACTTTAAATACTTTTATCACTTGTTTACAGTTGTCAACATAAAGGTACTGAGTTTTAATCTAACTTATCTTTTCACACTATTGATTAAAATATGAAATTTGTTTCTATTTAATAGCTAAAATAATAAATGTATAAACTTTATATTTAACATATTAGTAATTTGTTTTTATATGTAACAAAATTTTAGTTTTGTTGTTTTTCTTCAAAAACTTTGCAAAGAAAAATATTTTAAATAATAAACAAATAGAATTGAAATTTTTAAAACAAAAAGCAAGATTGCAACCAACAAATTTCAATTATGTAAAAGCACCAAAGGATGCCAACAGAAATGAATGTTTAACTAAATTGTACCTGAAATTGACACACTTTGTCCATCTCCTGGACCCAAAGGTTCCTCCTCAGCCAGAGGCTCATTGTTTACATTCTTTGCCTCTATGGAAACCTGTAAGTTTGGCACCTCCAACACATTACATTCTCCAACATCTTCAGGTGCTTTGGCCCCACTATCTCTTTCATTTTTAGGGTTGCTCACTCTACATTCTCCTTCCTCTTTAGGATTATTCACTTTACATTCTCTTTCATCTTTAGACTTGCTTACTCCCAATCTTCCTTCATCTTTAGGTTTGTTTACCTTAAATTCTACATTTTCTTCTGGTTCCCTGACTCTACATTCTTCATACTTAACTGGCTCCACAATCCTACCTTTTATGGCTTTAGGTTTACTGACCCTAAATTCCCCATCTTTTTTAGATTTGTCAAACTTACATTTTACATCTTCATGTTTCTCAAGCTTTTCATGTTCTTTAACCTTACAATCTAGATCTTCTTTAGGTTCCTCCACCCTACATTCTTCTACATTTTCAGGTTCTTCAGCCCAAAACTCAGCATTAGGTTGCTTGACTTTATGTTCTTCATCCTTTTCTTGTTTCTCATCTAAACTTTCTCGATCATCTTCAGTCTCCTTTACTATACATTCTTTATGCTTTTCAGGTTCCCCAACACTACCTTTTTCTTCAACACCACATTCTATATTTCTGGGTTCTTGCTTTTTGAGTTCCTTGACCCTATATGTTCTGACACCTGTAGGTTTTTTGACACTACATTGCCCTCCTTTGGGTTGCTTCATTTTACATTCATCTTTTTCAGGTTCATTACCAATACTTTCTCTATTGTCTTCAGATTCCTTTAACTTGCTATCTTCATGCCTTGCAGATTCCTCAACAATACCCTTTAAATATTTAGGTTCCTCAACCCAACATTCATCAGCTTTAGCCTGCCCGCCACTAGATTCAATATCTTTATGATGTTCCTGTTCACATTCCTTGACCCCACATTCATCCTCTGTAGGTACCTCAACACTACATTGCCCACCCTTAGGTTGTTCAAACTTACTTTCTTCAGGTTCTTTAACCTGGAATTCTTCATCGTCTTTAATTTCCTTGACCATATATTCCCCAACATTTTCCTCCACATTAAATACTCCATCTTCTTCAGGTTCCTTGACCCTACATGACTCAACTTTACATTGTACAGGCTTTTCAGGTTTTTTTACAGTAGCTTCTATATCTTTAGCTTCCTTGACCCTACACGACTCAACTTTACATTGTACAGGCTTTTCAGGTTTTTTAACAGTAGCTTCTATATCTTTAGCTTCCTTGACCTTACACGACTCAACCTTACATTGTACAGGCTTTTCAGGTTTTTTAACAGTAGCTTCTATATCTTTAGCTTCCTTGACCCTACACGACTCAACTTTACATTGTACAGGCTTTTCAGGTTTTTTAACAGTAGCTTCTATATCTTTAGCTTCCTTGACCCTACATGACTCAACTTTACATTGTACAGGCTTTTCAGGTTTTTTAACAGTAGCTTCTATATCTTTAGCTTCCTTGACCCTACATGACTCAACTTTACATTGTACAGGCTTTTCAGGTTTTTTAACAGTAGCTTCTATATCTTTAGCTTCCTTGACCCTACATTCTATCTTTATGGGTTCACCTTTTTTCAATTCAGGTTCCTCCTCCTCACATTCAGCCTTTTTAGTTTCCTCCACCCTACACTGCTTGACTTCACTTTCTTCCTGCTTTTCAGGTTCCTCAACAGTTCCTTTTATATCTTTAGGTTCCTTGATCCTATATTCTCCATCATATTTAGGGTCCTCGACTCTAATATCTTCAAGAGGTTCAGGTTCCTCAACAGTACCTTTTATATCTTTAGGTTCCTTGATCCTATATTCTCCATCATATTTAGGGTCCTCGACTCTAATATCTTCAAGAGGTTCAGGTTCCTCAACAGTACCTTTAATATTTTTAAGTTCGTCTACCCTACATTCTATCTCAACTTCAGGTTCCTTAATCCCACTTTCTTTGTCCTTTTTAGTTTCCTCCACCCTACACTGCTTGACTTTATATTCTTCATGTTTTTTAGGTTCCTCAACAATTCCTTTTATATCTTCAGGTTCCTTGACACTCCATTCTACATTAACTTCCGGCTCATTGATCGTACTTTCTCCATCATCCTTATGTTCCTTGACCCAACCTTCTTCATCAGCTTCAGGTTCATTGATCCTACTTACTTTATCATCTTCAGGGTCCTCGACTCTACATTCTTCATGAATTTCAGGTTCCAAAATAGTACTTATTGTTTTTCTGAGTTCCCCTACCCTATAATTTGTCTCATCTTCAGGTTCTTCAACCCTACATTTTATATCTTTAGGTTCAGACTTTTTTATTTCATTGACCTTATATTCTCTAGCATCCTTAACTTCATCCTTTTTAGGTTCCTCAGCCCTACATTGCCCACCTTTTGGTAACCCAATCTTACATTCATCATTTATGAGGTCCTTGACCCTAATTTTCACATTTTTCTCAGTGCTACATTCTTTATTTTTGGGTTCATCCATTTCAGGTTCTTTAAACCTACATTTTCCATCATCTTCAGGTTCTTTAACTTCATTTCCAACATCCTTTTTAGGTGGCTCAACCTTCCCTTGCTTATTTTTTACTTGCTTGACCTCACATTCATCCTTTACAGATTCTTTGACCCTGCATTCCACATCTTCCTTAGTTTCCTTTATATTTTTATATTCATCCTTTTCAGGTTCCTCTATCCCCCCATCTATAATTTCAGGTTCCTCAGCCATACAATTTCTATCATCTTCAGGTTCCTCCATCCTATATTCTCTATCATCTTTATGTTCCTTAAAACTACTTTCTATATCTTTAGATTCATGGCTTTCTGGTTCATCAACACTACAATATAAATATTCAGGTTCCTTGACTCTACATTCAAAATCAACCTTTGTTTCCATGACCCTACATTCTTCATAATGTTCAACTTCTTCAACTCTACATTCTTCATCATCTTTAGTTTCTTCCACATTATATTCTTCATCTTCAGGTTCCTCAACTCTACATTCTTCATCATCTTCAAGTTCCTGAACTCTACATTCTTCATCATCTTCAAGTTCCTCAACTCTACATTCTTCTTCATCTTTAGTTTCCTCAACAATATATTCTTTGTCTTCAGGTTCCTCAGCATTGAATTCTTCATCATCTTCAGCTTCTTTGACTGTACATTCTTCATCATCTTCAGGTTCCTTAACATTATAAGCTTCATCATCTTCAGCTTCTTCAACTCTACATTCTTGATCATCATTAGGTTGCTCAACATTATATTCGTCATCTTCAGGTTCCTCAGCATTGAATTCTTCATCATCTTCAGCTTCTTTGACTGTACATTCTTCATCATCTTCAGGTTCCTTAACATTATAAGCTTCATCATCTTCAACTCTACATTCTTGATCATCATTAGGTTGCTCAACATTTAATTCTTCATCATCTTCAGGTTCCTCAGCATTGAATTCTTCATCATCTTCAGCTTCTTGAACTCTTGATTCATCATTGTTAGGTTCCACAACATTATATTCTTCATCATTATTAGGTTCCTCATCATTATATTCTTCATCATCGTCAGGTTCCTCAACATTATATTCATCATCATCTTCAGGTATCTTGAAACTACATTCTACATAATCTTTAGTTTCCTTAACATTATATTCATCATCTTTAGGTTCCTCAACTCTACATTCATCATCATCTTTAGGTATCTTGAAACTACATTCTACATAATCTTTAGTTTCCTCAACTCTACATTCATCATCATCTTTAGGTATCTTGAAACTACATTCTACATAATCTTTAGTTTCCTTAACATTATATTCATCATCTTTAGGTTCCTCAACTCTACATTCATCATCATCTTTAGGTATCTTGAAACTACATTCTACATAATCTTTAGTTTCCTCAACTCTACATTCATCATCATCTTTAGGTATCTTGAAACTACATTCTACATAATCTTTAGTTTCCTTAACATTATATTCTTTGTCTTCAGGTTCTTCAACTGTACATTCATCATCTTCAGGTTCCTCAACTGTACATTCATCATCATCAGGTTCCTCAACTGTACATTCATCATCTTCAGGTTCCTCAACTCTACATTCATCATCATCAGGTTCCTCAACTGTACATTCATCATCTTCAGGTTCCTCAACTGTACATTCATCATCTTCAGGTTCCTCAACTCTACATTCATCATTGTCAGGTTCCTCAACTCTAAATTCTTTATTATCTTCAGGTATCTTGATACTACATTCTACAACATCTTTGATAGAAACACAGCTCTGTGCAGCTGGCAGCTCAGTCACACTACACTCCACATCATCTTCAGGTTCCTCAATAACAGCAGACAGTGTTTCTTCATTATACACATCCATGCACCCTAGCCGGTCAATTTTCTCCACAGCTGAAGCAAGGTTAAAGGTAGATGCATTAGCCACAGCCAGCCCTGGGGTCTCAGCCTCCCTTGTTGTGTCTGCACTGGCAGAAAGGGAAATGTTCTCATCAAGATTCTTCCTCATGTGTTTGGTTATGGTTTTATAGATCTCACTCTCTTCATAGGTGTCCCCTAAAGGATTCTCAAATTCTGACACAGCTGGAGACAAAAAGGGTGCTCAGATGCTAGGCATGATGCAAAAAGTGTTTAGTTCCTTAGACTTGGTAATCGGTGGTGTTTAAAGAGTTAAGACGAGTGTTAAGACGAGTGTTAAAGTTAGAAATGGCAGTGTTTCAAAGCAAGAAACAACATGTGTCATACACACCAAAGCAAGACAAAGCAAGACACAACATAAGTTTTGCACACACCTAGACATGACATTTGGTTGAGTTACAAAGCAAGACACAACACTACTTATTTGATAGTTTTTAGAAGACTAGACCTGGAGCATGTTAACAAGCAAGCAGTACATTACAAGACTAGTGTTCACAACATGTGCATAGATACAAATACAAGCTGTTTGTTGCTTCATGGTGCATAGGAGTTAAGACAAATATTTTATATACAACAGACAGTATGGCCTGTGTTAATAATAACATGGTGCTTTATGGTTATTTATAACCAGTCCAATTTGTAACCCAGTGCAAACACAATTTATTATTAGATTGGTTAATTAATGAAGGTAAAACAGTACTGATCACATTAAACAAGAACAAAACCAAGCACTAAAACATAAATATGGTGTATTAGCCTACACCTGCTATAAGACTGATCTTACCTTCTTCATCAAACGGTGCATTGCATTTCAGTATAGAAACCTCATTGAATGACTCCTCTTAAAAAAACAACAGAAGTAAACCCCCAGTTAGTGAAAGTATTACAGTATCAAAAAGAAGATAAATTGAAAAAATTCTTAAGTTTCCACAGCTAGAATAAATCACATAAAAAATTATTTTTAAGGAAAAAAGCTAGCATAAATTTAACAAAGCTGTATATATATATATATAATTATCTTCATGGGGACCATGTGAGACACCATGTTAACGCACACCGCTCTCTAGGCATATCCTACCACCCCCACCAGTCTGTTGAGCTGCGGTTAACACTAAATGTTTACAATCGTACAGCCAGGTCGATTTAGTGACGGCTATTAGGGGCAGATACTTTAGATTTTAAAAGGGAAGGTAATAATAATTTCTGCCATAACTATTCACAGTCGTCTGTAAACGGTCGTCACGGACGACTGCTTTCACGGAGTTCGCGGGAGGGGTGGGGAGGGAAGGTGAGGATAATTGTCATTACCAGCTACTGATAGTGTTTTAAAGCAAAATATTTTCAGCTGCAGCATTGGTAGTGTTAAATTGACAACTTATGAATTACTGAAAAGTAGAAAATAAAACAACTAAATAGCGGTGTATGCGGGTCAGCTTGTACAAAATAATCAAAAAATGAAAAAATGCACTACAAAGTAAATATTTAGTTTGTGAGATTAATTTTCCACTTTTTAACACGTTTTTCTTAACTCAGCTTCGCGTTTGTGGATTTGTTTGTTTGTTGTTAAAATTGACATCGAAAATTAGCCCACTTCTGATTGCTCAATAGATCTGAAATTTGGCATGTAGGCTACTTTCGCCTAACAATTTCAGATGCAATCATAAAAACTAGCAATTAGAGACCGTAATTAGCTTAATTTAATTACGCCCCAAGGACCATAAAATTGAGGACATGATTTCTAAAGATACCGACAAGACTGGAGGCCTATTGGCACAGTTACTTCGGCCCCAATCGATGTGAGCGCGCTGGCCGTGATCGTATAGTGGTTAGTACTTCGCGTTGTGGCCGCGACAACCCAGGTTCGAATCCTGGTCGCTCAAGATTTTTAGTCCGTGTATTTATAAACACTTAGTCAAGTCATACTTAATCAAGTCATTAGATATAGTAGCAAATAAACAAATTAAAAAAAGTTTTTTAAAAACAATGTTTTTCATGTGTAGCAACGGACTAAAAAGGAGAAAATAAAATACTTAAAAAAAACTTTTTTAAAAACCACGTTTTTCTTGTGGACTAAAAAGTAGAAAATAAATTTTCATACATTTGATGACAAAAAACGTGGGTCGGGCAGATGGGTCGGGAAATTTGATGGTGAACGTACCCACGTTTTTTGTCATCAAATGTATGAAAATTTATTTTCTACTTTTTAGTCCACAAGAAAAACGTGGTTTTTAAAAAAGTTTTTTTTAAGTATTTTATTTTTTAGTCATTCATTTAAATTAAATTGACACTACATAGGCTAGGACTAAAGATATTTGGGTTAAAATCCGTGATATCTAAAATTGAGATATCTGGCCCTAATTATTTGTGGTTGAAGATAGGGCACAAAATTGCATAACAGTTAAGTGAAAAAAAAAGTTCAACATTGAGGGCGATCAAGCAATCGGATCGCTAGTATTTTTTATATCTCGTTATCTCCCATCTAATCTATAAATAATCTACTATATTAAGCGGACTGTGTGGCTGTGTTATGTGAAGGCGGACGGGCTGTGGAACACATGCATATAGTAAAAAAACTGAACTTTATAAAAAAAATATTCTTTTTATTAGTTTGTTTTGGTGTTGGAAAAAAATAATTATATAATTAGCACGGATTGATAAAGTGCAATGTGGTAGGTAGGTAAAACAGATATTTTAAATGCTGCCTTTTATTTATTTTAGACACTGAAAGTACTGTTTACTAATTAGTATTTTTAATAACAGTTTAGAAGCCGCTTCTAAATGTCCTCTATGTTAACTTCTATCTTTTGGTTTGCGGACAAGCTGGAGGTTATAGTAGTTTACTAAATTGAATCAGGTGCGCCCCAGTAGGGTGTGATTTGGCACCTGGGCTATGCGTGATCGATACGGTGCATACTTTAGTTTTAAAGAGTGTGATACACGATGGATACAATGTCATCCAAGATCTACTATGTGCTGAATTTTAGCTAAATCGGACTATGTGAAGTGGGTTAACCATTAATGACCCATAACGCCCACTGCCGCTGCAACCCATGATGGTCAGCAATGCCCGCTTACAATACACAAAGAAAAAGTTAAATTTGTTTCATAAAAATGTGCCCTAAAAATCCTAATTTTTAACTAAACAGAAAGTTGGATAGTTACAGCATCCTTCTCCAGTTTACTAATTTTAATGGCAATTTTGAAATATACATAATGTTAGTCTCTTTCCATCCCAAAATTTGACTCATCTGTCCTGTTTATTTGTTGATTTAAAATTAAAATAAAAACATGCCTAAAAACATATCTAGGCATGTATTTTACGAATTATATATCTTAAACATGACAAAATTTTTATATTCAACTGTTAAATTCAGTGCATAGTTGTTTAGTCAAAAATAAAGTTGACTACCCAAAATGACCTATTTAGGATTCTCTGACATTTTATTTTTACACTGTACTTCTACTGAATATATTATATTTTATTTAATACTGTTGGAAAGCCAGAATTAATTCCAACATAAAGCAGTAGTTTTTATCTTAATTATTATTTTCATTTAGACAAAAACAAATATTTTGTTAAAGGGTTCACTTGTTCATACAGAGTTATGCTCCTTACATTAGAACATCAAGTGCAGTGTTTTGGTAGAAGGAATGGGTCATTAATACTTAAATCAATATTCCAAGATTAGCTGAGCCACATGCATACACCCACATACTTGGTGAGTCAAAGATAAGCTTTTAAAAATACAAACATATCTACCTAAATCCTTGAGCATGTCAGTATCTAGAGTTTTCTCCATCTCCATCTGGACATCAATGTTTGAGCCAGGAACCACCTTAGCAGACAAAACAAGTGATGTGTATTTTAATCTCAAAAAGCAAAAATCCAATTTTATATATAAAAAAGATCAATTAAAAAGACAATTTCCTTAACTTAACTTCTTATTTAAATTAAAATAAGCTTAGATTTTTTTTGAAGTTTACATGTTTTAATATAGTCGACCTTTTTTTTTTATCATGGTTAGAAAAAAAATCAAATGAAGTAATTTTTAGACTTACATCTGCATACTCTAGGTCAACCATTGCTCTGTTTATGGACTGAGTGCCTGTATTGTCTAAATCACTCAGATAAACACCATATTTCCCATCATTAGCATTCTCCAACACATACATACACAGCTTTCTGTCAATGATGCAGTCTGTAAGGGGTTTCAAACATGTTTCATAAGGCTACATTAATATTGCTTACTAATCCGACATTGAATAACACTAAAAAATTTGCATTCCAACACATTTAATATGCCCAATGAAAATTCTTATTAAATGGCTTGTTAAACCTAAATAAATCATCATTAAATTCTTAGTTTAAGTTTACAAATTTAAATGATTAAAAACAAATCATGCAACAATGAAAATTTAATTTTTTAATACTATTCATGTAGTTTTATAGCAAATCCTTTTTTGACTTCTCTAATAAAGATAAACTAAAAAAATTGTTCTTAACACAAATGAGTTTTAAAATGAATTCATACAAGTAAAATGATCCTGCAGCCAACCTTACCTTTAAAAAATGTAATGGCATCAGAGCTCCATTCAGAATCAACAGAAACAACGCCAGCTAAATAACAAGGCACTGCTTGTGCAGGTAGGTCAAGATACCTAGAAGGTAATTCTGCCACTTTGTCAGGTGACACAGTTGCCTCCCAGCCACAGTCCACTGATTTTACCTGGTGACGATATTACACAATTATGATCAGTAGCACAACATTTAATCATCATTAAGTATTCCATAGTTATTTAATAATTGCATCTAAGGTTGGAAAATACAGTTTTTTTCAAAAAGTATGTTAATTTAAAAAAAAAATGTTCATACATTCCATAAGGATGTTTCCTGTGAAATGATCTCTCCTCGATGCCACACATCAGAATGTTGAAACAAACATTGGTCTCCAGTTTTTATTTGTGGGGGTTCCAACGGATTATTGGATTCCATAAACTCAGCTAGGTCAAGCATCATGGAAGAAAACTGGCATTTCAGTTCTTGCAGCTGGACATGGAAGGAGTTGGGCAACTCATCGTTGCTGACTATCACATCATACTCTGTGTGCATGCTTAGGCGCAGTTTCCTAAAATTTAGAATTTCTTAAATAATATCCATAGATAGAAATAACTTAGATAAGGTAAGAAGTGTTTATTGTTCAATGACTACATTTAAAATCCATTTCTAATATTTTAAAATAAATTATTTAAAAACAGTTTATTAAAAACGCCACAAGATAAAAAAATGTGTTCATTCCTACCTGTAGCAGCCATATTCAGCTTCATCAATGGAAAAGTTCTGCAGCTCGCTTTGAGTGGTTTCTCCCACCACGGCTGTTGATTCCATAATTGGCTGAGTTATCTCCAAAGAGTCCACATCAGTGGTGTCTGCACATTGCTTTACATTAGTGGCTTCCTTAGCATTGTCATTGGACTCTGTATCACAAGTTTTAGCCAGACCCCCGGAGACAAGCAGAGCTGTCAGGGAATCCTCTGTTTCTGGGATAACCAAATCCACCAGAACTTTGCCCTCCTCTCTTCCCACCAGTTTCAGCAACAGCTCCTGATCTGCCACCATTTCTGAAAATTTCTCATTCACTTCAGGTAGCCACTCTTCTTGGATAGGTGCAGCTTTGTCTAGGCAACAACAAAAGGCCTGCATTGGCCATCTACACAAGTCATCCTTTACCTTGAAGACACTGTCCACAGAAACATCACTATCATTGCCATAGTCAATAAATCTTACAGAATATTGTGCTGAGTCACCTATATGACCACACTGTAATATTTTAGCTCTGTAAAACTGATCATCTTCTGAGTAGCGGGCCACTACAATATCCCCAGGGTTCAGCTGCCCACTGATTTCATTTTCGGCTTGAGGAGAGCGATATGAAGACTCCAGTGATGCTGCCATCTCCTCTAAAGTATCTGTAGATGAGGCTAGCTGGCACCAGAAGAGTGAAGGGCTTTCACTATGGCTGACAAATACACTGACCTCACCCAGCTCTTCTAGATTATTGGATACACAACTGAAAGTTAAAGTAGGAAACAAGTCACATTTTTAAAAAATCTGACCATGATAAGTGATTTGATTTGAATATATTAATTTAACAACAACAAAAGGTTAACTGTTGCTATTTTTAGGTAAAATGGGGAAGCATGTAATTATAACATGTAATTATAACATGTGATTAAAATAAGGCAGCAAAGAAACAGAGGCCTTTATAATATTATAATATTTCCCAGTATTTTCAGTTAGATTTTAAAAATGCAACAGTAAACAAAAGTTTTATTTCTTTTTAGGTTACTGAATTGTCATACATACCCAATCTTGTGATTAGCATGTGCACTGGAAGACATCATTGTTTGTTTGGCTGTTTTGTCATCACCCTCCAAATGGGTGCTCTCCAGGAAAGAATTGAATTCATCTGACTTTTGGAGGATGGTACTATCTGCATCTGAGAAAACATGCTGGATGGCACTGCTGACTACCACCTCACTGCTACGAGTTGCACAATCTGGGCAGACAGCAAACATAATTCAAGTATTTATGATGCATTGGTTTTTCTTCCATTTAATCAACATAATGGTATGACAAATTTTAATGAAATATTTTATTTTGCTGTTTGTTATTTATTTCTAAAATCTAGAATTTATCTAAAAGCTTTCCTATTTTAAAAAATGTAGTAAAAATATTGTTCACCTTTCTTGATCAGCTCCTCATGAATGGGAATGCCCATATATAATAGGTGCACTGTACAACACAATTCATCTTTATTTACCTCCAGAAAGTCAGCTATTAGAGGCCTAAAAATAAGTTCAAAACAAAAGCATCAGCCTGCATTTCATAATCTATCTAAGATTCCCAGAAAATGTGCAAATACAAATTAATTATACTTAAACACTTTCTTAATGTCTATGAATGCTTTATTTAAAAAACCTAAATTGCCCTTGCGCACTTTTATGTCCCAGTATTCCATTGCACAGTTTTCATCGGCACATCTTCCTGGTAACCCTATCTATATATATGAAAGTGAAAGTATGTTTGCCCTTGTGGTAGTATAACCGTTGGCTTTTAAGAGCAACCTACGACGCAGTCGTCAAACCGTATTCTGCCTCCCTATTACAGAGGGTGATAATGTTCACTTAAGACTTTCATCAGCACTCTGAAGAGTCTAGGCGATAGTGTGGGCAAACCTGCACTCTAAATATAGTGCCTGCTTTGTTTACACTTACACTCAGCTTTAAAAATACACAATTGGTAAAATAGATGTATTCCTCTTAAAGTATTGCATTGGCACATAACAAAGCACGGGATGGGATAACTAGTTTTAAAATAATTCATACAGCAAAACTCTACTTTTATTTAATGTTACAATAGTTTGTTTTTTAACTACAAAATTAATACGTACAATTATTTTAAAAGCTAAAGCAGATAGGCAATTTAAAAAAAAAAATATGGATAATCTAAACGAAATTATCTTATGGGACCTACGTTATGGATGCCACTTTTGTGTTTAAATGTGAATAATCTAATACCCATACTTTGCTGTTATAGCGAAATCTTGCATCATTTAAGGTTTCTAACATAACAACACACAAGTGTGAACCCACCAGATTTCAACAGCATTAACAACAACAACAAAACATATTTTAAATCATGTCTCACTGCATATGATATTTAGTTGATTTTTAACCACTATGTCTCTTTCAGCAGTATACCCATTTGAGAGTATTTAGCGAACATTGTTTGTAATTTTCACTAAATTGTAGTATAAACTATGCAGATTTAATGAACAAAAAAAAGTGATTATTTTAAAAATTGGCCCCCAAATTATCTAGATTTGATATTTTACCTGGTGACAATACTATAAATAACCCACGAAACAAGCAACCACAAAAAAAAAAAAAAAAAAAAAAAAAATGTAATCAGAATTTATGTTCATAACAATTTTCACCACAAGCTTGATACCTTAACTTTGGTGTCAAAATCAGATGTTATAGAGATCTTGCATGTATGTCATGATAATTTAAATAGATTAAATTTGTTAAGAAAAACTGTTATACATGATAAGTGGGGTCTCAGGTAGGAAAACAGGCTAATTTTTCACAAATTTCTAGTTACACCAATCCTCTATGAAAAGAATAGAAAAATAATGTGTCTAAATGCACCTACTTTTCCTCCACCAGCTCTCTAAAAGTGTCAATGTCTTCATCAGACCAACTTTCTCCTTTAGGAACTACTCCACCTAGCCTAGCTGTGATCAGAGTGTTTTTCACAGATTTGAATTTTTTTGCCAATTTTTGCAAAGATGTCACTTCTGCTTCTTCTGTGTTTCCATGATCGATGTAGAAAATCTAAGAATTGTACAAGTTTTTCAGGTGACACAACAGGTAAATAAAGATTATCTTGTATAGCAGCAATGTGTGGCGTGTTTGAAGATACATTTATACCATTAAAAACATGAAACTATTACTACAGACAGAGCAAGATTTGAGAGTGATTACAATAAAGAGATTTATTGCTTCACATTTGTAATGATAGAGGTTCAGTGAGCTACTCAAGTGTAGAATAAATAAACAAGAGCTCACCTGGCAGGTACCATTATCACTGATACTTTTAATCATTACTCTGTACCAAGACTCATCTTCATAAAGGGCAGCACAAACATCTCCAACAGCTGGGCTTTCCAAAAGTTCTTCTTCTGCAGTGCTGTAGTGTTCATACATCTCATCCATCAATGTGTCTAGGTTAGGCTTTTCTCTCTCTAGATGTAAATAAAACAGGTCTGGACTGCACACAAATGATACAGAGACTGCCAATCTCTGACCATCTATGTCTGAAAGCCCAGTGCTATGCTGTTTGACACGTGAAGCCTCATTGTTGTTTGTGTTGTCTTGAAGAGAGAGGGACTTAACTTCCGAAGTTAAATTATTAACAGTTGTATCAATTACTTCAGATGTCGGCAATGCTAGGAAAATAAATTAATTTTAGAATTTAAAATATCAATCTTTGCTAAGTAACACTAAAAAAAAACACTATTATTTAATTTATGAGATAATGTAAATTATTTCCCCTGTTAATAATGCTTATAATGATACATACAATAATTATGCATGTCAAAGAAATGTAAAGGTTTAAGAGACTTTTGTCAAACATTTTATTTTAGATTTGGCTGAATATGTTTCATATAGAGAACAATGTTATAAGCAACACAATTTTAGTATATAGTCACCTTCTTGCTCTGAGTCAATTCTGGAAGAGGACTTTACAGGGGCATCTGGGACTGGAGCAGACAGATCTAGCAGGTCCAGCTCAATACTTCTGGCCAGAGATACCCTGTACGGTGGAGTCTTGGTAAAGAAAGTTGCATTGAGAATTTTTCCTTCAGTCATATCTGTGAATTTCTCCCTGAGACTAGATGACCAGCTATCTACACCATTCAAACGGCACTCATAGGCAAAAGGTGGATTTTTTAGGAACTCCACTGGAAGTGATAGAAGAGAATCTTTAGCTACTGAAACTGTTTTACCTGTATCAACCAAAGTGACAGTTACGGTTTCTCCACCAACTTCTATTATCTTAGACCTATAGCACGCTGCTTCATCAGAAAGGTAAACTAGACATGGAACATCATGTTCATCTGAGTTCAATTTTCCCAAGTCTTTGTTACTATAAACAGACGACAGTGTTTTACATATCTCTGCTATAGCTGAATAGTCTCTGTAAAGTTGAATGAAAAATCTGCCGTCATCAGCAATGACAGAGACACCTGCAGGTATGACTTCAGTGGGAACAACCTGAGATTTGTAACTGGTTGAGGGAGAGAGGATCTCTTGCAGATCCAGCCCATCACTGGTCATAACATTCACACTGTAGGGTGGTACGGTACCACTGATGTTTACTGTCAGGGACAGATCTATAAATTCAGTCAGTTTGGCTTGTAACTCAGGCGAGAGTGGACCCAAATCAGGAAACTGGCACTGATAGGCTAAAGGTGCACAGGCAAGTAGTTCTTTGGTCAAAGGCTGTATATGTGAGAGGGCCACTGTGTCTCCATTTCCAAAGTCAACAAAAGTAACTCTAACATTCTTTCCATCACAGCTAGTAATTTGTGCACGGTACAGAGCAGAGTCTTCAGAGAACACAGCAGCACAGGCTGCACCAACCTGAACATTTGGGTGGACCAAACTTGATGACATTGCCTCAAGCTTGCTGGTGATGTCCTCAAGCAACTCTGTATCTTTCTCTAGTTGCAGATAAAAGTATCCTGTTTCACCAACATGGGAGATGAATGCTACCACACTTCCTACTGGAATGGTTTGAGTAACAAATTCTTGTTTAGGAATGGCAACAGTTGGTGTAGGTGGTTTTTGTGGAGATGGTTTTTGTTCTATTGTAACAGATCTAGCGCTGCCCTGATCAGATTGCAGTGATTTAGCCGGGCTACTAAATGGACTTGGTTTGGGTGAGAATTTCTCTACTTTAACACTTGTGCGCGGAGGTGAGAGCTGTGGGGCAGGTGAAGCACTTTTCCCAGACAAAATAGCAAGCAAATCCCCATCAGGTGTTTGAATGTCAACCTCATATGGACGAGACGAGCTACAAAATGTTACAACCAGCTCTTTATCAAGTGTCAGGCTGGCAAACTTTTCTGTTTTCTCTAATGACCAACTCAAGCCACGCAGTTTGCAAGGTAAAGCTTGAACTGGGAATTCAAGAATATCTGGAAATATCATTTTTAGATCTCGTACAGAATATTCTCCAATGTTACCATAATCAACAAAACGCAAAACAGCATTGTTTCCTTTCACTTCCTCTATTAAACACCTACACATATTGCCGTCTTCATACTTAGCACAGCATGCTACTCCTTTTTCAGGTGTTTCCCTGAGTCTAGGTCCACCATTTTTATAACTGCTCGCCAACTTTTTGGTAAGAAAAAATATATCCTTCTCTTTAGAAAGTAGTTGAATATAGAAAGTGCCATCATCATCCATCTGTATTAATAATGCTTTTTCAGGGGCAGAAGGCAGATCAGGGTAAGTAAACTCTGCACTGATACTTGAACCTGCTTCAGGCTTTCTATCTCTACCACCGAAACCACCATCTCTTTCATTTCTGCCACCAAATCCACTTTCCGTTCTACCATCTCTTTCAGGTCTGCCACCAAACCCACTTTCTCTTTCAGCTCTGCCACCAAATCCTCCATCTCTTCCGCCTTTGCCACCAAATCCACTATCTCTTTCAGGCCTACCACCAAATCCACTTTCAGTTCTCCCACTAGATCCACCATCTCTTTCAGGTCTGCCACCAAATCCACTTTCAGTTCTTCCACCAGATCCACCATCTCTTTCAGGTCTGCCACCAAATCCACTTTCAGTTCTTCCACCAGATCCACCATCTCTTTCAGATCTGCCACCAAATCCACCATCTCTTTCAGGTCTGCCACCAAATCCACTTTCAGGCCTACCACCAGATCCACCATCCCTTTCAGGTCTGCCACCAAATCCACTATCTCTTTCAGGCCTACCACCAGATCCACCATCCCTTTCAGGTCTGCCACCAAATCCACTATCTCTTTCAGGCCTTCCACCAGATCCACCATCCCTTTCAGGTCTGCCACCAAATCCACTATCTCTTTCAGGCCTACCACCAAATCCACTTTCAGTTCTACCACCATATCCACCATCTCTTTCAGGTCTGCCACCAAATCCACTTTCAGTTCTTCCACCAGATCCACCATCCCTTTCAGGTCTGCCACCAAATCCACTTTCAGTTCTTCCACCAGATCCACCATCCCTTTCAGGTCTGCCACCAAATCCTCTATCTCTTCCACCAAATTTACCGCCCCCTTCTGAGTCTTTATCCTTCCAGCCTTGGCTTCCTGTTCCACTGAAGCTGTCTTTACTGCCTCCAGTACTGGAGAACTCTTTACCCGATCCTTGTCTTCTGTCAGCATCACCAAAACCACCAAGATCATTCCTATTTCTTGTTTCCCCACCTCTTGCTCTTTCCTCCTGAAACTTTGTTGGGCTTCTGTTGGTCTCGTCTTCTTCCTCTTCCCATTCAGAAACAGGGACACGAGGAGCTACAGGTTTACCAGATCCGGCAGCCTTGCCATACCCTGCTCTCACCAGCTCAGACACAACATCCATTCTTCTACTCACCAACTTGACTGATGTTGCTGTCACAAAAGTACAATCCAGCTCCTCGTCCATGACCAGAGACTCAAACATTTCAATGGCTTTATCTGGCCATGATGCTGCTTCAATCCCATGCAGTGAACACTCATACGCCATAACAGGAACACTAGCTATGGCAGGTGTCATGACTCTGATGTTCTGTAATGCAATTGTTTCTTTATTCCCATAATCCACAAACAAAACAAGGCTGCTGTTACCTGTGATAGATAAAATTTTAGCTCTGTACCAATTGTCATCTTCAGGATAGAGAGCCACACAAGACTGACCAGGCTGTGGGTTAGAGAGGATTGGAGGAGGGATCTCACAAACATACTGAACAGCGATATTGTCCATTAGCACACCTAAAGCTTCATCCACTCCTGACAATTGGAGGAAAAAGCTACTGGGAGATTCTACCATGCTGGTGAAAGCTTTAACAGTGGTGTTAAGAGGAACAGCTTTAGCTGGAGCCAGGCTTGTGGACTGAGATGGTTGCTTCACTGGAGAGATTTTAGTGGTTAATGACTTTAAATAATCTGTAACTTTAACTGGCCCATCATACAAATCCACTACCACTGGATTACTAGCTACTTCTAAAGCCACCATTTCAAATTCCTTCTCTTGTGCCAAATCAGACAAGGCATCTGATAAGTTTGATATGTTCCCTCCCACAGGCAGGCTACAGTGGACTGCTTGTATGGGCAAGTCTAGAAATCGTGGCTCAGGCTGACAAAGTACACCAAAAGTTACACTCTCCTTATTTCCGTAGTCAACAAAGAAAACTTCACAAGATGATGAGTTCACTTTCTGGATGGCTGCCCTATACCAACCATTATCTTCACTATACTGTGCAATGCAGGCTTGGCCTACAGCTGGCTCTCGTAATGGTGTGCCACCATTTTCAGAATAGTGTAGGTTTAATTTGTCCATAAGTTCACTCAGCATAGCACGGTTTTTCTCCAGCTGGCACCAGAAGCTGTGTGGAGATTCAACAAAAGTGACTGTGACAGTCTCTCTTTGGGACTTTGTTAGGTGTATTTTCTTGGTGTATTTTGCTGGTGCGTGTGTGCTGGAGGTGAGCGAGGAGTCAGCCACGACATTCAAACCCACCAGTTCTCTAGCCACATCTTTACCTCCACTAGACAGCCTGACTAGTCTGTGGGAGTCTGTAGCATCGAGCACCTCACACATGCAACCATCTATTGTTAGGTTCTCGAGAAAATCTTTTGCGTCGCCGCTCCATGACCTATCCCCTCTGCGCAGTGGTTTTACCCCTACTAAGCTGCAAAGAGAAGCAAGAGGCACAATTTCTCCAAAAACTCCAGAAACCTGTCTTAACTCTTCTTTAGCAAGTGTTTCAGAATTGCCATAATCAATGTACAACACTTTAACATTGCCATCTTCCAGGTCTCTAATAACCAGACCCCGATACCACACCTGGTCTTCACAAGATCTGGCAACAACAAATGCCCCCGGTGAGGGTGTGGCAATTGGCTGTGGCTGGCTGTAGAAGCTTTGAAGTTCAGCTGAAAGATTCTCGAGAAGGACTTGAGAATCTTCACACTGAACCCAGAAGTCACCAGGGCTTTCAACCCAAGACAGAAACACAGGGACCTTGCTTCCAACAGGCAAGGTTGGGCCGGTCTCTGAAGTGACATAAGAACTTAAGGTCGATTTTTTAACTTCTTTGCTTGGTGTCACAGATTTTGCATTGTATTTATCAACAAAGGGTTGCAACAGACTTAAAATATCCTTATTTTCCACAATATCCAATAAGGTAACACTGCATATTTTACCATTTCTACTCACTACCTTAACATCAAATTCTTTATCAGCAACAAGTTCATCAAATTTTTCAATCACCCCAGGGTGCCATGAACTACCTCTTGGGTGTGCTCTATCTAAACAACATTGCACAGCTAGTGCAGGCAATTTCCTCATCTCTGGCTTGAGATTACAAACAAATTCTAAACTGACAGACTCTGTGTTACCATAATCCAGGAAATAGACTTTGGCTGCATTACTGGACACACTCTGTACAACTCCCCTGTACCAGGCTTCATCTTCACTGAATTTAGCTGCACAAACAGTCCCTGGTGTGACTTGTTTCAATGGTTTGATACCCTGTGTCATATGAAGGCGGGATAACTCCTCAGATAAAATAAGTATTTCATTGGCAAATGCTGTAGCCTGGCACCAAAACAAGCTGGGACTATCACAGTAAACAACTGATGCTTGAATTGTGTCCCCTGGGCTCCAAACAGTCTCTTTGATTGAGTCAGCAGAAGAACTCTGCATGGAAAAAAACAAAAATCGAATCCAAAATCTTTAGATGTAATTTTTTAAATACATTTTTCCACACTTTCTATTATTTTTTATATAATTCATTTTTTCTCAATAAATGTATTCCAGTTGATTTTGATTATGACATGCCAGTATATCACAAGACACTGAAAGTTTAAATAAATAAAAATGTTTAGGACTCACCTGAGTACTTACACTAGCTGAACGAACAGATGTTTTCACAGCCCCAAACAGCTCATTTATACTATTTCCCTCTTCATCAAACATTTCCACAAGATAAACCTGTTAAATAAATTATTACAACCTGAATCATTCTGTAAAAATTATTTTATCTACTGAGGTTTGACTAGAGCTGACTGTGACATTTATTTCCCCTCAAGGATGTAGCTTGTAGTCATAAATGAGGAAAGAAAAATTTAAAATGATTATGCGTAAATATAAGTATTGAAAATTTTGAAATAAATATTGAAATTTCTGTTTTAAGTAGAAAGACAACAGGTTTTGCCAGTAGAGTGGCATGTCGTAGCATGTGTTAAAATACTTTAGTGCAGCAAATATAGCTGACATTGTTAACTTTTTTAAAATTAAGACCATGCAGACATGCTTACACCTGGTGACCAGAAGGTGGAAGTCATATTAGAAAAAGAGGAATTTAAAGCAAAACAGATGAACATGCATGTGGATACTACTTTGCTAATCAGAAAATACTTAAAATAAGAAAAAAGACATTTGGCCTTTACACAGTAGATTTGAGTATTATGAGGAGGTTTAGTATAGTTTTATACTAAGTTCATCTTTAGGCAGCATCTAAACTATATACTACTACTTTACCTTTTTATAAAAATGTAAAACCAACACCCTCCATTTAATGAAAATAAAAAGAGCAAATGTAGCTGTACCAACATCATTGGTTAGATTCAACACTAGAGTAGTTGATGCAAGAACAAATCTGAAACTATTTTGGATTCTTTGGCTCTGCTTTCCAAGCTCATGTGTTACTGACTTGTTATGTACTAGTAGGTGGTCATATTAAGGAACAGCATGGCCTAGCGGTAGAGAGCTAGACTGCTAACCCGAGAGTCTCGAGTTCAAACCCGGCTTCAAATCAGTCGATCATCCCAGAGTCCATCCAGCTCTGGTGGGTACCTAACTTACGTTAGGGAAACAAAGGCAGCTGGGCATAGTGCTGACCAGACTATCCCTTCATATGCCGAGGTCAATGAATCAGATAAACTCTACTTCATCTGTCCCATGTGTCTTGGGTACGAACAGGATTAAGAATCTGGTTATATGACCAACAGACAAATGCTTAACCCCTTACTGCCTGAATTATGTTTAAAAAATTGTTTGTGCTGATTTTCTCTCATCATACTGACACTGAATTTGAGGTTTATAGTTGTTTTAAAATTTTCGCTTATTTTTTTATGCTAATTACGGTATGTCGCGAAAACGCGACATCAGGCACTTATGCAAATGTCAATGAAACAGGTGAACTCTACTTCACCTACCACATGGACCGTAACGTTCTAAATTGCACTTTTATACATAGGCAAAGACTATATTATAAATCCTTTATTTATTCATAATCATACTTGAATGAATGACAGCTTGGCAATGCATCGTATTTCGTTATACCTGCTTGGCACCCAAGATCCTCGTCATTGTAATAATTATTATCAAATTGAGTAATATTTTGTTTGTGCGCGTAGTGAGTTTATCATATTTTATATTAATCCATATTTAAGTTACAGTATAATTTACAATTTACCAATCCAAAAAAAATTCACAGAATATTTCTAAAATATTGTTCATTTTTATAACTCGTATGTCTTTTTTCAATTCAATATTTTTGTTCAAATTTGAGCTTATTTTTCGATTTAGTGGAAAAAAACTTTGACAAATGCAGAATGGCTGGCAATTTTTTGGAAAAAAAAGCATAAAAAATTCTAGTTTAGGCACGACAATAGGCATGTCTGCCCATGTAATGTTACAATATTACTTAAATCACCTCATCATGATCCCTTTTACATCTGAAAATGGCTTTACATCTTCTGTCTATAACTCTGTCTTCAAACTGGACCATGAGTTCTGGAGACCAAAATCCCTGGGCACATGATACATCAGCCAGTGCACACCTAGGTAGCAAAATGTAAGCACAAATAATGTCAACAGCAGTATTTTAAGTATGCAATAATTATTATAAGACTTTACTTTTGTTTATAACTAAAAAATAACTGAATATAAAGATATAAAAAAATTAACTTAAATCTAAATGAAAAGGCGTAACAAAAATAACTACACAAACAAGATTCAAAAATGACTATTTCAGTGTTACTAGTCTATTTATAAATAACCACAATTATAGTTTAAATGCCTCTTCCTTGTCCCCATCAGCTGTGTTGAGAGGGGTCTACTTCAAGGTCAATATTTGATTCTTATCAACTTGTTGCCCAGACTTTAGACCCTATTTTCCAAGGTGCTATTATCTAATCAGTGTCAGATTGTGGAGCCTATTATTTTATTTATAAAAATCATTTTAAAATCTAACTGTCTACTCTCAATATTTTACTTTCTTTATAAAATCAACTTAGTTTCAGTATATTATATATAAATATTGTATAGCGAGTGAGTTTCTGGGCCTTACCATTCCATTATACCCTTATTGTACCTGAACCTTAAAACAATTTACCTGTAGCTTTGCACTGGATACAAGACAAGATCGGAGTCTAATGACTTGACTCGGTCCTCACTAACATAGTCTGTATTGCCATAATCAACAAATTGCACTTCGATCAGACCGTTTCTAACCACATCTAAAATTAAAACAACATCGTCATTCATGTTAAGACCATGCAATATTAGAATTTGCAATGGTATGAAAATTAATACATCAAAAATACAATAAGACTGAGTGTGAGTCACAAGTGTCATAATTACAGTAATGTGAGTAAACTTAAATTTTTAAAAATATTGAAGTTATGCTTACATTAAAATTATTGTAAACACACTAGTTTATATTAAACAAGCATTTTTTAATCCTAGTTATTTTAAATCTTTCTCTGGTTATATTTTGCATAGATGCATGTCAACTACTAATGACTCTTAATAAAGTTTTTAAGGCCAATAAAGCAAGGGTTGTTAATTAGGAAATCTGGTTATCACAAAAAAACCTAAGATTATTTCTATCCTAAAAAATTTCTTCATGGAAAATTGAATTAGTTAAGAATATACAAACTATAAATGCTCTTGGTAAATAAAATGACTACCTGTAATTTTAGCCCTGTACCAGTTATCATCATCTGTAAATTTGGCTGCACACAATGTCCCAGGTCTTTTGTTCAACAAGGGTTTATCACAAGGACCTAAGCCTGTATACCTTTCCGCAAGCTTCTCCATGATCTCATCTAGTATTTCCACCTGGTCTTCAACATGAACAAAAAACAGCTCTTGGGATGTAATATGTGTAGTGAACACATAAAGGGATGCCCCTTCATTTATGGAATCCAATGGAAAGTCCTCCATTATGAGTCTTAAAATCCAACGCTAACAAATTATTTCAGTAACCTGCGAATTAAAAAAAAATGCAATGTCCTAATGAAAAATAAGATATGCCCTTGCACATAGGCTTATCAAGTATTTATCAAAAATTGAAATAAAAAAATATAATAAACTAACACAAGTATAAATTTAGTAGAGTGGGTATTTAAACAAATTTAAGTAAAATATTCTATTAGACTAATCAACATTCCACTTTTCATCTAGAAACAGGCACATAAATTAAAAGTATATTTCAAATGCTAGGCATAACTAGATCTAAATGAAAGACTGGCTAATTAGGCTTCCTAGACCATATTTTTAAGCTATTGGAATAGATTGTCCCAAGCGCCAAGTTATATCCATAGCAGAATAAAAATAAAATTTATCTAATGATTCGATTATGCTACTTCTATGATTAATAAAACTAGTTTATGCATATAGAATTTATTTTGAGCTATCTATCAAAAGACAGCTGACATTTTACTCCATTTTAATTAAAATTATAAAAGATTAAATACGCACCCTAGATCTAGCCTTAAAACTACTATTCCAAATTAAGAAACAGTTTTAGACAATAGATCTAGGCTTAGCCTATCAATAAACATTAACCTAATAAGCTCTAGACATTGATATGTCGGTATAGAATCCTCCTAGTTTATCAGATTAATTGGTAATCGTTTTAGGTACGTAACATCGCCCGCGACTAGTAATTAAATTTTAAGTAATGTGAAAAACAGGTGACTCCTTAAATTTTAATAATTATTTCACATTTTGAGGAGGATTTGTGTTTTGAAAAATACAAATTTTTTTCCTTGTTTCATTTAGCCTACGTACTTGTTTTTAAACAGTAATAAATAAAGACTAGCGATGTTTTCATGAGATGCAACCATGCTCATTTACTATAGCAGCCACCTTGTTTAAGTTTTATTATATTAAACTTATAGGGGGATATTCAGGGGAAGCCACTCTATTTTACAAATGGCTGCTGTTTATATAGTAAATCTTGCTCCCAAACACTGCTGTTTAAAGTTAATTTCTGGCCTATATTGATATATTTATTTTATTTAGCCATTGATTTTGGTTTATTATTCAGTTATCTATAATATTTGACACAAATATTTCACAATATGCTTCTATTAATGCCTTGACAATGAGGTAACTTTTTCGTACATTACTAGCCGCCGCCGATTTTACGTACCTAAAGCGATAGATTACCAATTTTTCTTAACCTGGGTTTGATCAAACCCCAAGGTTAAGTGAGTCAGTCTCAGCGGTTCAGACAGGTCAAGACAGTGACACACACCCAACTGTTGGGAGTTCATCAGTGCGAACAACAGAGAAATAGTCACTAGTGACAGTTCAAATACAACAGTGCATCAGAATGACATAGTAAACTAAGTCATCAGAGTGCCATTAGGCCTAGGCCTACATGTTTTATGGTTTAGTTCTTTGAACACAGTGATGTATGGTAAAATATAGGCCCATAATAGGCTAGTCTACCTATGTTTTATTTTTCCCATTAAGAAGGATTCAGCAAATGCAATAATTATAAGCTAGTGGGTTCAATAAATCCAAAAGATTAAGAACCACCAATCTAGGTTCTAATAGATGTGGTAGATTAGGTGACTGACGCTGCTTATATTATTAGAGAACTAGATCAAGAATGTAGTCATTAGCAATGCACAAAACAATTGAATTGCATTCACTTCAATGAAGTGAATGCAATTCAATTGTTATTGCAATTCAATATGAAGTCTCATATTGAATCGCAATAGGCCTAGGCACCCCTAATAATTTTATTATTAATTAGGCCTCGATCGAGTTATTATTTAGATCTAGAATTATGACTAAGTTTAGAGTTTAGAAAATAGAGAATCTACATTAATTTGCAAATTCAGTTAAAAAGACTTGATTGTAGGCCTACTATTTAGATTCTATAATAATTTAATCATCATCATCATGAAATGTGAGCCAAGAGAGAGTGGCCAGCTTTATCAGAGGCCCTCACAGACCTGGCTTATGAGTTTAGTAGATCTTCTAGATCTAAATCTACTATTAGAAGATCTAGATTAGATCTAGATATCTAGATCTAGACTAGAGTCTAGTTCAACAAGTAACAATCACAATGATCAATGAATGAATTGAATGATGAATCATGGGGGTAATAAAAATAATGGATAAGGGCTGAAACTGAAAGCAGTGAGTGAAAAAGAGAAAAGTATAGGGCCTAGAATCTAGATCTAGATTTAGACTTTTAGAGGCTAGAATCTAGACTAGATCTAGATTAATCTAGAATCTAGGCCCTAGATCTAGGCTTAAGTTTTAAATTCTTAATTCTAGGTTGCAAGATCTAGAAAAACGGTAGGCCTAGAGATCTAGACTATTTTTTTATCTCTCGAAATCTAGATTTCTCTAGATCTATATCTAGTAGATCTAGATCTAGTCCTAAAATCTAGAGAGAGTAGATTAGATATCTGGATCAAGATCTAGCACTTCCTTGCTTAGATTTTAATGGTTTCTTACTTCTTCTTACTCTTACTTACCAAACCTATTGTAATGAGAAAATCAATACGCCTAAAATTTAGAAACTTTGATATTTTAGATGTAAAGCAAAATCGATTCATAATGTTAAAATAATGGATTAATGGGTTGCATTTTTTTGTTAAAAACAAGTAGATCTATATCTAGACTAGATTTAACTTTAAAGATGTGAAATTGATAGACTAGATCTTGATTTAGATTCAACATTACCGATTCATTAACGAACCAATGTGTCGGCATGTACACTACTGCAGAAGTTATAAATAGAAAACATTCGCGCCATAGTTCATTAGTCAAGGAGAGAATCATGCTAGCCTAATATTAACAAGAGGTCTACCTAAGTCTGTTTGAGCTTAGTAAATGTTATCAGGAAAAAAACAATTATTTTAAATATATTTGACATATATAATGTCCCTGTTAAAAAAAATAATATTTTTTGAAGAAAAAAAAAGCACGTTGGTGATTTGATGTCAAGGCCATTAAATAGCGGTTACTCAAAATAACTTTTAGGTCATAGGTCAAAGGTTGTAGTTCATCACCTTTGTACTCTAAAACAGATGAGATGTAGGTCTTCTTTCTTCTAGGCCTCTACACAATACATACATAACAAAGTACAAGATGTAAAAAAAAATCTGGTTTTATAAAGTTTAAAAGTCAAAAGCATATAGACTACATTCTAGATCTAGATCTATTTATCTAGATTCTATAGTCTATAATCTACCACTAGATCTTAGATCTAGAGTCTAAGTCTAGTCTAGATCTAGATCTAGATCTAGAATCTAGATCTAGATCTAGTAGATCTAGATCTAGATTCTAGTAGAGATTCTACTTCTAGCAGAATCTAGTCTAGTGTACTAGTGTAGTAAGTACGTTGAACTATCATCTCACTATCCAGATAGATCTAGATCTAGACTCTAGTAATAATAAGTTAGTTGATAGTAGTAGATCTAGATCTAGATAGATTCTAAAAGTAAATTAAATAGATCTTGATCTCAGTGGCGTCGCTAGATTGGGTGTAACCCGGTATGGCACTCCCCCCCCCCGTTTTTTTCTCTGAAAATTTTGCTGTTGGTGCCCCCCCCCCCCCCCTGCCCCAGCAAAAGCTTTAAACTGTTCATATTAAAACTAATAATGTTTTTTTTTAATCTATAGTTGGTTGTTAATACCACTGGGTGTAACATTGTTTTCTCTATTAGACTATTAGTCTACAGTTTGCATGTCAAACATTGTATGGTGTCAACGCCTCCTACTGAATCCCTTGTCAGGATCATCATTAATATTATGTACTAAAAATGCTTTCATTAGAATCTAGATCTACTTGACTTATACTCTAACTCTAAGGCAAGGCCTACTTAAAGTATTAGTTAGTAGATCTAGGTTGTAAATTGTTCCTTGCTCGATCTGAAAGCTATTTTCCATTCACATTGAAATAGAATCTATTGAATAAAATGCTATTACTCCATTCCACTTCCCAAAATGCCACCTAGAATCTAGTTGTTTTTGTTATGTTTTTAAACTAAGATATATGAATTTACAATTATTTTTATACATGACAAATAGTGTTTAATAACATATTAAAGTAAATAAAGAAGGATGCAAAGAAATAAACTGGCTTTATATATTTTAGTGTATTAACCTTTAAAATTAGCTGACGAGCTTATAAAAGATGCTTGTGAAGGTGAAGGATGGAGGAGACCGGTGGATAAACTTCACTTTGTTTACTTACTCACTGTTAATGCTAAGCTCTTTCTGTCACTTTAATTCACTAACTTGTTACACACTTAATGCTTATATTTATGCCCAAACTTAAACTTCACTGAACATAAGTGTCACCTTCGCTTAATTTTCGTGACTGCTTTGCTCACCGCTGGTCTTTATTTCTTTAGACTTTCCTCACAGGCCAATCCATGCAGGCCAGGGTAATAAACAGAGTTTCTTCCAGGCATCTCTTCGGAAAGCCCCCGCCCCCCGAAAAAATTCTACCGCCCCACCGAACGTAATGAAATTTATATAATTTATATAGAAAATATATACTTTTAACACTGTCCGCCCCCCCCCCCCCCGAAGAAAGTCTACCGCCCCTCCCCCCCTCCCCCAGAGTAAAAAGTCTGGAAGAAACACTGGCAATAAACCCGTCCAAGAAGTTTATTTTTTTTATTTGTTGAGGTAGCACTCTATATAAATTATATTATATACATATACATATATATATATATATATATATATATATATATATATATATATATATATATATATATATATATCAACACTAGTCCACTTCTCAAACTCAGAATTTCGTCCAATGACAAAAAGTGCCTTAAGTGACCTAGTTAAACAAGATGTAATAATAATTAAGCATTTATGATTTTAACTTTTATAACTAATTTGCATTACAAATTATTAATTTTCTCTAAGACTTAGATAAAATTTCAATGGAGCAACCAGTAACTGAAAAAAGTAATATACTCTCTCAGAGCATTGATATTGCTTCTTCCAAAGGTATTGTATGAATCTAATTAAATAATTAAATAAATAGCCCCCCCCCCCCCCCCCCCAAAAGAAAAATGTCTGATGAAAACCAGGTTGGGTCTAAGACATTACCCCTGGTCAAATCCCCTGAAAAATACAAATCCCCTGGGTCTAGGACATTACGCCTCCCATGGAACACTTTATCAATTTCTGTATCCAACTAAATATGTCTTATACCTATCCCTAACTTATCCTTGACCTATCCCTAATCCTATTAAGAAATTCTCCTTAACTTAATATTAACTTATCCCTTTACCTATTGCAAAAACTAACCCTATCCATAACCCTAACCTTGTTTATAACCCTACTCCTAATCCCAAAAAAATACTCCTCTTCCGATTTGGTATGTATAGGGTCAATTATTAATCAACCAGGGATTGATGCTCTACTCCTGCTTTTTGGGCAAAGAGAGGTGGGGGAGGAGGCAGGGCACTAGGGTTATTGACAAGGGTTGGGGGTAATTTTAGCCAAATATAAAAAAAATAATAGGGTACTTACATTTTTACACATACATGTAAATCAAACATATTGGCACTGCTACTTAAGAAAACAATTCCTTGTTTTATAAAATTTGCGCTTTAACTTCAATTAGCAAGTTGTTTACTTTTTTTTCCAGAAATAATTTCCATCCTATATGCCTGTGATCAAGAAATTTTTAATGGATGGGATGGTGGCAAAGTAAGTTGTGCTCTTTGTAGTCTGTTTGATTTTAGAGAACAACTCGTTTAACACAACAGACAGCAATTTGACAATATTTAATGTCTTTTTTAATTACTTTTTAAGTTTAAAAACTTTTTAATGACACAATTGGAAGATTTTTTCTGCTCCATTATCATAACTCAGAGGCGTAGCGACCCTACCCGGCGCCCGGGGACAACCTTTTCGATTTGCACCCCCCCCCCCCTCGAACTTTTCATTTATACCCCCCCCCTCAAACTTTCAATTTGGCGCCCCCCTAAGATCGGCGCCTGGGGGCATATGCCCCCCCCCCCTCGCTACGCCTCTGTCATAACTAGCAACCTTTTATATAGCATACTCAGAAATATTGTTTTTATAATGTGAATTTGGGACTGTTGATTGCTATGAATTCAAAAATGACGCTAACAAGTTCAAATACAGAACTAGGTTGCCACCTTAAAGAAGATGAGCAGAGAAAAAAAAGAATGGATACTGGACTGACATGGTCTGAGTTAAAGATATTGACTGTGAAATATTGAAAAAAAATATGTAGTCTTTGCCCAATTTCTTGAAATTCTTTTTGACTCTCTTTGAGTATAGAACTGAGTAAACACATTGCCAACAAACTCAACTATTTTCTTCACTTCTGTCATTTTGTCCTAAGTGGTGATAGCTGTCTGAATTCTGTTTGCCAACAAACTCAACTATATTTTTATTCACTTCTGTCATGTTGCCCTGTGAAAATAGCCGTCTGAATTCTGTCTGTTGTACAGTAGCATAGCGGGGGGGGGGGGCTTATGTCCCCGGGCGCCGACCTTAGTGGGGGGGTGCAAATCGAAAAGTTTGTCCCCGGGCGCCGGGAAGGGTTGCTACGCCTCTGCTGTTGTATTAAAGTGTGATCTCAGGTTTCTGTGAACATTATGACCCACTGATGGGTGACTAGCCTAGGTAGTTTCAACAGATCCCCCCATTAGCCAGGTTTTTCAGGTCTAACCTCAGATAGCCTTCATGGTGATGACCTGGTAAAATACCTACCTTATCTTTGCCCACTACCAGCAATCATCTGCTTTGCATGTTGTATGTTCTCTCCCTTGACAGACTAGACTACTTGCTTGGTTTGTAGTTTATGTCTCTAGCTTGACATGGCTGGTATGTATCTGTTGATAGAAATAAGCACATTGTTATACTTTCCCAAACAATGTTTCAGGGAGTCAATAATGAAACAGTTGTGGAGAAGATGCACAAGGTTGCAAACAAGATTTCCCAAACAATTGAGGTCTTGTCTTTTCTTGAGTTTTGTCTTCTTTATTATAGGGAAATAATAATTATTTAATTTAAAATTAAGATTTATTCTTTGTGTGTTTCTTAGATAACATATTTATTTAATGGAAATTCTAATATAAATGTGAAAATGCTATTAATATGGCTTTTAACAATTGAACTAATTTAAAATTGTTTACAAATCAGAATCCTAAAGGTGCTGTTGTCATTAGTGGGTGTGGCACATCTGGGAGGATAGCTTTTTTAACAGCAGTAAGTTCAACTCTCTTAGCTTCCTTAATGTAACAAAGATCAACTTTTCCTTATATATATATATATATATATATATATATATATATATATATATATATATATATATATATATATATATATATATATATATACATTTGAGTGACCTGTGGTTTCTCAGTCCCTTTTGTTGCTGGCTTGCTAGGTCTTTGCTTATCACATACAAGCAAGTTTACACCAGTTTTAATTGGATATAAGTAAATTATTTTTAGGCCAGTGGTTTTATTTGCTTTTATTTCAGAGAACTTTCAACAAATATTTGAAAATGAAAGGCAAGAATCCCTGTTTTCATTACATAATAGCAGGAAGTGATAGGTTAGTGGTGATTGTTATTAATAAAATTGCTAAGATTGATATGCGAGTAAAGACCAGTGGTTTCCAAACTTTTCGTCAATTGTCACCCCTGAAAAAAAAATCTATATCTTAGCCTCTACCCACTTTCTCTTATTCCTTAAAATATTAAATTTATATTAAAATATATATTGCTGTAACAATAACTCTTATTGGCATAAACTTCAATATAGCTAATTGTGAGTATGTGAACAATTTTAAAACCAGAAAGAAAATAACTTAGTGTTCTGGGATAGGTATAGAAAAGACAATACAGGATAGGATAGAGCTGATGCATATTTCATTTTGTATCTCCAGGAACTAAGTTCTTTTTTTTAATGCTTTTTTATGCTTTTTTAAATTTAAGTTGTACGTTTTTCTGATATTTTTTGCACCTCCCCTATTGCAACTCAATGCCTCAACAGGGAGGCAGCCTCCCAGCAGAGTTTCTTACAGGCATCTCTTCGGGGGGGCTTTGCCCCCCCCCCCCTCCCCGAAAAATTTTTACCGCCTCCCCGAACGAAATGAAATTTATATAATTTATATAGAAAATATATACTTTTAACAGTGTCCGCCCCCCCGAAGAAAGTCTACCCCCCCCCCCCCCCCAAAAATTTCAAGTGCCCCCCCCCCCCTCCCCCCGGAGAAAAAAGTCTGGAAGAAACACTGCCTCCCAGTTTGGCACAAATAATTATAAATGTAATATCATTAGATAATGGGTTAGTTGAGTTAGTGAAAAAATCATAAATTATAGAAAGTAATAGTCTTCAAAACTTTCTTATATTGAATGTTTTTTCTCTAATTAGAAAAAAATTTGGTTGAAAAGATTTTTTTAAACTCTTGTGTTGATATTTCAGGGCCCTCTTTACATCAATAGAACTTGCTGAGGATGATCCGTTTATTGGTGCTAAAACACTAAAAGAGGTAGCATCTTTAACTGTTTCAAATTATCTCTAGATATGAGAAAAAAGATCTATATTTAACAATGTATTCTTTATTAACAAAATTAGAACTTTACCCATGTATGAATCAGTTCTAACAGCTAGCAAGTAAGACGAGACAAAAAAGAACCTCTGTTTACCTTTATAATTGAGGGACATTGTGGTCATGTAGTATAGCACTTGATTACTAGCTCTTGAGTCCAGTTTATAGACTTGAGACCATGGGGTGCCCCTGAGTTTACCCAGTGTTACGGGTCAGTTGTAGGTTAGATAGAATTTAACCCGGACGTAACACCCAGCTCTAATAGATACTTGGCTTGAGTTAGAGATAGTAAAAGTGGGTAAGAATTATGTACTGACCATACTGTCCCCTTATATATCAGTCTCAAAGAAACACATTAACTCTATTTCAAATTACCCTTTGACCATATTGTTTGAAAGGGGTCTTTTTGTTATTAAAATTCTTCCATAAAGTATTTGTTTATTAATTATAAATTCTTGTATTGTTGTTTATCTAAGAAATGCTACCTTTTAAAGGTTACTGAAGATAAAACTGAAGTTGTTTACATTGGAGTGACCTGTGGTTTCTCAGCCCCTTTTGTTGCTGGCCAGCTAGATTTTTGTTTGTCACATACAAGCAAGTTTACACCTGTTTTAATGGGATTTAATTATCCACACCAAGCTAGGTCATTTTCTTTTTTTCTTTTTATTATTTTCCTCCTTATTGTGAAAATTAATTGATAAAAATAGAAATAAATGTTTGCTTAAGTTAGTTTGGCATAATTTGTATCTGTTTTTAAACAGAAATATACAGATTGAAAAATGGTATAAAACTTTTTTGACAGGTAACTTGCTACATTTTCATATTTAAAAAAACATTTTAAAATTGATCAGAGAATTAATTACAGTGATGAAGTATTTAATTGATCTGAAAAGTGCAATTTTTGTATTGACTCTTGTAAAAAGTGCAAGGAATAGCCATTTTATAAGCTTATGCTTCATTTTCAATCAATAGTTGTTAAAGAGTTAGAAAAAGCAGAAAAGTTGGATGAAGCATTTATTCTAAACCCAATTGTTGGGGTAGGTCTCTTTTATTTTCAAACAAATGGGGATGGGTGGCAGGGGTGTATAATACACATTTACTTGAATAGATGTTGGAACTGACAGTCTGCAGCATTGGTGAAGTAGAGTACACCTCTTGCTGTGACCACAGATCACAAGAAAATAAATTCCATGACCCAAAACCTATGTACCAGTCCCTTAATCAGTTACAGTTTAGGTAAAATTCTTGGATTGAAATTTATTTACTGAAATAATGTAGGCCAATAGCCTAAGCTCTATTTTACTATTTGGAATGCATTTTCTTTTTCTAAATAATCTAAAACAAACTGTAACCAAATAATATTTATACCTAGCCAGAACCTATAACAGGTTCATCTCGAATGAAGTCTGGCACAACTACTAGAATTCTGTTAGAAATTTTATCAATAACAGCTATACATCAGTTTCCTAAGTCAAGGTATGTCAGTATTTAGTTTTCCTCTTCACCATTATTTATGCAAGCACATAATTACATTAGTACATGTAATGGTTAACTTTATTTTATTCACCAAATTTACCTGGATAAAAGTAGAAATAGTTTAACAACTCTTTCTTTTGAAATTTTGTCAGGTTTTTTTTAAAGTTTGTTGTACAACATTTCCCCAGCATTCCAACATGTATATCAATGTATGAGTCAGTGTGTGGCAGTGTTTAAAGTTTGTTGTACAACATTTCCCCAGCATTCCAACCTGTATATCAATGTATGAGTCAGTGTGTGGCAGTGTTTACAAACACACTGAGTCCTTGGCTGGTCTGATGCAGCTGGCTGGTGACAGGTAAGAACTCTCCTCATTAAAAGTTGCCTAAAGATGCTGGTAGTATTAGCATTATGACCAGACAGTAGCATTAAAGTTGCGTCATGTTTATTTGTATTTGGTATACCAGATGATAATTACATTGAAAATTGGTTGCATTAAAATTATTTTATGAGCTACAACAATTTGACATATATATATATATATGAAACTAATGAGCTAGAGCAATATCTTTTCTCAGCCTGACAGCTAAAGGTCATGTTTACTACCTAGGTCACAGTGGGCTGGGTCTAATGGCCATGATTGATGCCTCAGAGTGTCCACCTACATATGGAGCCTGTAAGCCTTTTCACCAAATCTTTTATTTTCAAATTTTGATATCTTTTTTTATTTGATAAATGGTGTTTTAAAAACACATATTTTAAAAATTTATTAGCAAGATTTTTAAATTTTCTGTTATATAATTGGACTGAAGTGTATCAACACAGTCTGTCTATGGCTTAGCTTTTCTTGACATCAGAGGTTTTGTAACTGCTGGTTTTTTACATTTTCTCTCTGTGGCTTAGCTTTTCTTGACATTAGAGGTTTTGTAACTGCTTTTTTTTTTTACATTTTCTCTCTGTGGCTTAGCTTTTCTTGACATTAGAGGTTTTGTAACTGCTTTTTTTTTTACATTTTCTCTCTGTGGCTTAGCTTTTCTTGACATCAGAGGTTTTGTGACTGGTGGTTTTTTACATTTAAACAACAATGATGGGGATCTCTCTCACCTGGTGAGTTGTGGACTTTAATTAACCTTTTAGTTCCACCTTGAACATAGAATAATTAATTTGAGTTCATAATTTGTAAGTCAGGATTCTGTAAACTAAAAATTGATTGGAAACTTAATGTCCAGGGCTGGCAGTATAAAATCTCCATACAGGACTTTGAAAGTGATGTCATACCAACCCTGACCTCACAAGACTTCGTTGTTTTGCTTGGGGAAGGTATTGTCAACTTTTCTTAAGTTTAGTCTGACTAAAGCTTTCTTAACAATTATTTCTGTATTTTGTATTTTAACTTTTATAATTTAAAAAAATGTGGGAATCTACTAATCTATGGTTTGTGTTGACAACAGCAAATAACATTAGTTGATAGTTTACAACCAGTAACCTAAAACTTTTTTAAAGAAGATTCTATATTTTTGTTGAAACAATCAAAATATATCTTTTCCTCTCAGAAGTTTTAAAAGAAATCAGTCCATCAGTTTTTGATGCACCTTGCAAAAAGGCTTATGTTTCATTTTATTGGGAAGAAGTAAGTGAAATTTAAAGTCTACATTTAGCACAGTAAGAACTACTTAAAATTAAAAATTATATTAGAGTTTTATTCGTTTTTATCAGTAAGTTTATTTGCAATATTAGTTTTTTGTGTCTTCAGCCAAGAAGTTGCTTCAGACCATGGTTGGAAATGAAAAATATTTGGCTATAACTAGTCCTACTCTTGCTTGTTTGTGTCTCATGCTTGTAGCTTCCACCAGCTGAACTAAAAAATGTGGACCTTAATTTGATGGTCAACATTAGCGTGCCAGAACTTGAATCTATGGTCCTGGCACCGGCCAGAGATGTCAGCAAACAGGTGCTGGAGGAAGTGGCCTGCAAGTGGGTGGTCAACAGCTTGTCCACAGGTGCCCACATCCTGAAAGGCAAGGTGTGTCAGAACATGATGATTGATGTCAAGGTCAGCAACAACAAACTCTTCCACAGAGCCGTTGGGATTGTCCAGGTACCTGTTTGCATGGATGTCTTCAGTGATAGCTTTTATCATCTGTCTTCAGTGATAGCTTTTATCATCTGTCTTCACTGATTTTATCACCTGACTGTCTTCAGTGATAGCTTTTATCATCTGTCTTCAGTGATAGCTTTTATCATCTGTCTTCAGTGCTAGCTTTTATCATCTGACTGTCTTCAGTGCTAGCTTTTATCATCTGTCTTCAGTGCTAGCTTTTATCATCTGACTGTCTTCAGTGATAGCTTTTATCATCTGATTGTCTTCAGTGCTAGCTTTTATCATCTGACTGTCTTCAGTGATAGCTTTTATCATCTGATTGTCTTCAGTGATAGCTTTTATCATCTGATTGTCTTCAGTGCTAGCTTTTATCATCTGACTGTCTTCAGTGATAGCTTTTATCATCTGTCTTCAGTGCTAGCTTTTATCATCTGTCTTCAGTGATAGCTTTTATCATCTGTCTTCAGTGATAGCTTTTATCATCTGTCTTCACTGCTTTTATCACCTGACTGTCTTCAGTGATAGCTTTTATCATCTGTCTTCAGTGCTAGCTTTTATCATCTGTCTTCAGTGATAGCTTTTATCATCTGTCTTCAGTGATAGCTTTTATCACCTGTCTTCAGTGATAGCTTTTATCATCTGTCTTCAGTGATAGCTTTTATCATCTGTCTGTCTTCAGTGTTAGCTTTTATCATCTGTCTTCAGTGATAGCTTTTATCATCTGTCTGTCTTCAGTGCTAGCTTTTATCATCTGTCTTCAGTGATAGCTTTTATCACCTGTCTTCAGTGATAGCTTTTATCATCTGTCTTCAGTGATAGCTTTTATCATCTGTCTGTCTTCAGTGCTAGCTTTTATCATCTGTCTGTCTTCAGTGCTAGCTTTTATCATCTGACTGTCTTCAGTGATAGCTTTTATCATCTGTCTTCAGTGCTAGCTTTTATCATCTGTCTTCAGTGATAGCTTTTATCATCTGTCTTCAGTGATAGCTTTTATCACCTGTCTTCAGTGATAGCTTTTATCATCTGTCTTCAGTGATAGCTTTTATCATCTGTCTGTCTTCAGTGTTAGCTTTTATCATCTGTCTTCAGTGATAGCTTTTATCATCTGTCTGTCTTCAGTGCTAGCTTTTATCATCTGTCTTCAGTGATAGCTTTTATCACCTGTCTTCAGTGATAGCTTTTATCATCTGTCTTCAGTGATAGCTTTTATCATCTGTCTGTCTTCAGTGCTAGCTTTTATCATCTGTCTTCAGTGCTAGCTTTTATCATCTGACTGTCTTCAGTGCTAGCTTTTATCATCTGACTGTCTTCAGTGCTAGCTTTTATCATCTGTCTTCAGTGCTAGCTTTTATCATCTGATTGTCTTCAGTGATAGCTTTTATCATCTGATTGTCTTCAGTGCTAGCTTTTATCATCTGACTGTCTTCAGTGATAGCTTTTATCATCTGACTGTCTTCAGTGCTAGCTTTTATCATCTGTCTTCAGTGATAGCTTTTATCATCTGACTGTCTTCAGTGCTAGCTTTTATCATCTGTCTTCAGTGATAGCTTTTATCATCTGACTGTCTTCAGTGCTAGCTTTTATCATCTGTCTTCAGTGATAGCTTTTATCATCTGACTGTCTTCAGTGCTAGCTTTTATCATCTGTCTTCAGTGCTAGCTTTTATCATCTGTCTTCAGTGATAGCTTTTATCATCTGTCTTCAGTGATAGCTTTTATCATCTGTCTTCAGTGCTAGCTTTTATCACCCGACTGTCTTCAGTGCTAGCTTTTATCATCTGACTGTCTTCAGTGCTAGCTTTTATCATCTGACTGTCTTCAGTGCTAGCTTTTATCATCTGACTGTCTTCAGTGCTAGCTTTTATCATCTGACTTTCTTCAGTGCTAGCTTTTATCATCTGTCTTCAGTGCTAGCTTTTATCATCTGACTGTCTTCAGTGCTAGCTTTTATCATCTGACTGTCTTCAGTGCTAGCTTTTATCATCTGACTTTCTTCAGTGCTAGCTTTTATCACCTGATTGTCTTCAGTGCTAGCTTTTATCATCTGACTGTCTTCAGTGCTAGGTTTTATCATCTGTCTTCAGTGCTAGCTTTTATCATCTGTCTTCAGTGATAGCTTTTATCATCTGACTGTCTTCAGTGCTAGCTTTTATCATCTGTCTTCAGTGATAGCTTTTATCATCTGACTGTCTTCAGTGCTAGCTTTTATCATCTGTCTTCAGTGATAGCTTTTATCATCTGTCTTCAGTGCTAGCTTTTATCATCTGTCTTCAGTGCTTTTATCACCTGTCTTCAGTGCTAGCTTTTATCATCTGACTGTCTTCAATGCTTTTATCACCTGACTGTCTTCAATGCTTTTATTACATGACTGTCTTCAGTGCTAGCTTTTATCATCTGTCTTCAGTGCTAGCTTTTATCACCTGTCTTCAGTGCTAGCTTTTATCATCTGTCTTAGTGCTAGCTTTTATCATCTGTCTTCACTGCTTTTATCACCTGACTGTCTTCAGTGCTAGCTTTTATCATCTGACTGTCTTCAATGCTTTTATCACCTGACTGTCTTCAGTGATAGCTTTTATCATCTGTCTTAGTGCTAGCTTTTATCATCTGTCTTCACTGCTTTTATCACCTGACTGTCTTCAGTGCTAGCTTTTATCATCTGACTGTCTTCAATGCTTTTATCACCTGACTGTCTTCAATGCTTTTATTACATGACTGTCTTCAGTGCTAGCTTTTATCACCTGTCTTCAGTGCTAGCTTTTATCATCTGTCTGTCTTCAGTGCTTTTATCATCTGACTGTCTTCAGTGATAGCTTTTATCATCTGTCTTCAGTGCTAGCTTTTATCATCTGTATTCAGTGCTAGCTTTTAACATCTGTCTTAGTGCTAGCTTTTATCATCTGTCTTCACTGCTTTTATCACCTGACTGTCTTCAATGCTTTTATCACTTGACTGTCTTCAATGCTTTTATAACATGACTATCTTCAGTGCTAGCTTTTATCATCTGACTGTCTTCAAGAGTTTTCACTTAAACCCAAATCTCAAAATCACCTTCCCAAACTGATATTACAAAATTATTTTTAAGCCTTCACTTCCCTCATTTAACCATAATTTCAATGGAAATGTCATGTTATTCACCATTATCACCCTAAACAAACTCCAAAATATATGGAATGCTACTTGACATTTCTTAACACTTCACCTCACCCTTTAGAAACACTTTATCTCCTTTAGGTATGTGATCATTGTGTTATTCTGTATGGTTGACTCCTATTTAGTTGTTCATGTTTTCACTCATGTCCCAGATATGCAATGTTTCTCACAAATAATTAAAATGTATTTTCTATTTCAATGGCTAGAAATATTCCCACCTCACCACAGAGGAGAGTCAGCAGTGTTTACTTAAGTCCATATATGGGACTGACTGTCTGACAGATGACCACACATCTGCTTCTGTTGTCAGCCATATTGGAGCTGCAGCTAATAAAGATCTGGTAACAAACCTTTCTTTATTCAACCATATTTCAGTACACATTTGAACAATATTTCATTACACAATTCAACCATATTTCAACACAATTCAACAACATTTCAGTACACAATTCAACAATATTTCTGTACACAATTCAACCATATTTCAGTACAAAATTGAACAATATTTCAGTACACAATTCAACCATATTTCAGTACACTATTCAACAAGATTTCAGTTCACAATTCAACCATATTTCAGGACACATTTGAACAATATTTCAGTAGACAATGCTACCTTAATACAAGGCTATTACAGATCATTTGTTTAGGTTTTTACTTAGTTATATATTTATGTAGGTCTATATTTCACCACATAATTTTCTAAACAGTTATTAAAACTTTTATATAACTTATTCAATTTCCCTACACTTTGTGGTTTTCTGTCTCCCTCCTTTTCTTGATGCTTGTGTATTTCAAGAACTGCCATATATGGTAATATTTGTTGCCAGTGTCCTTAACGTATGGTCCCCATCTTTTATTATCTTCTTACTCACTCTGGTTTGTCCTGCCCTTACTGATGCTGTTTAAACCTTGTTGACATGTTCACACCTAATCTACAACATACAAATTTTCTTACAGATTGTTCCTGTTGCCATTTTGGTTGCTTCCCTTCACTGCACTGTAGAGGGCGCTAAGGATTTGATAAAAAAACAACCAATCATCAGAAAGTTGCTGCTGGTCGAGGGTTAAAATTAATCAGAAATCTGAGAAATAGTTTAAAAAAACTGTAGGCCCATCTCTAGGGGGCATAAGGTGGTGCACAGGCTATTTGACCTTTGACTCTGTGATTCTGTTCAGGTCGAGCATTCTGTTGAACTAAATTGTTAAATGTTCATTAGAAAGACCTGGAGGTTAAATTAAATTAGATCAATCGCAAGCTATTTTAAAATTAGGCCTACTTCTTTAATGACTTACTTGAGATGGAATATGGAAAATCATTTAATTATACAGGCCTACCTACTTTGGAAATAAAAATACTTTTTTTTGGAATAAATATACAATTTTTCTTGAATTGTTAAGTAAATGCAATTGTGTAGGGCTTCAATTAACTGATCTTAAAATTTAAATGAGCCACATTTTTACCAAACTTTTGAGTCCGCAGACTTACGCACATATGTCAGCAATAACCAGAAAAATATTTTGGCTTAGAACAACATAAAAGGTCTTACACACATGGTCAATTGCTTATAATCAGAGTTTCTATGTTATTGGTTTTGGTGTTAATTGTAATATCAACTATTTAATAAATGATTACATTTTGATTTAAATAACTGTGATAGATATTTTGAAAGCATTGTGATTAATATTGATTTGATGGTGCTGTTTTTAATTAAATATATATTTTAATCAACTATACACTGATCATTCATGCATAAATAAAAATTAATTAACCCAAATTTACGCATTTTTTTTTACATTTCAAATAAATTTATCTGTAAGATTCAACAAACCACTATGATCAGCCTGTTCAATTTAATAATCAGTAAATATTTGTCTCAACGGTAGGCCTAATTGTCATCATCTTTTCCAGTTTGTGCCCAAGACACATGGGGCAGATGAAGTAGAGTTCATCTTCTTCAGAGACCTCGTTATATGAAGGGATAGTGACAGCAAGTTAATTACAATGTAGGCCACATCTGACAGCAGGTTAAGTTCTGACGTCAGCATTTGATGATGGGGACTTGTTAGTGATTAGCACTGGTCCAACATGTGTTTTGCCTATCTCTCGTGGAGCAAACTTCATCCCACGAAGGACCCAATTCAGCACTAGATCATCAAGGTTTCTTAGACCATTGCGTTATATTTGAAATCCCGAAAGTCTACCACTTTTTTTAATTGATGCAAACAAGTGCAAATATATAGGACCTAAATTTAGACAGTTGCATTGACCCCCCCCCCCCTAATACCATGTCCTAAATTTAGACAGTCGCATTGCACCCCCCCCCCCGCCCTGCCCCTCCCCACTAATACTAGGACCTAGCTTTAAACAGTCGAAATGGTCCTCTAATAGAAGGACCTAACTGTGTCAACGATTGCTATATTCCAGTATGATTACCAACATAATTCACTTCCCCGTTGCGAAATATAGTCTACATAACCTATGTAAATAAACGTTGATAGGGCCTAGTATCATAAACATGACCTAAATAAAAATACATTCCATTTGTACCAACCAGTTAAAAAAGTAGAGGTAAAACAATTTAAGATATTTGTTAATATTTTATTATCAATGTAGGCTAACCAGGGGTTTAATAAAATCTTTTATTGCGGATGTAGTGGTGTGAATCAATTTTGAATAACATGACATTTCCGTTGAAATTAAGGTCACAATCTGTTACTAAAGAACAATTGATGGAAGTATTTCCTGTTTTCGAATTTAATGGACATTTACTTGTGAATGTTCATTTGGTTCGTTGCGATTCTTGTTTAAGATCGCGAACGCTCATGTTTTTAAAGATAACATTCATTTCATGTAAAGGCAACTTTCTGCTTCCCTGGGCAATTACTCTAAGAAAAGATAACTCCGCAAAGCCACGTTTACGATACGTGGCGTCCGGCGACTGGACAATGTCAAACAAGAATTTGGCAGCTTTCTTGGTTCGCTCTTGGAATGAAGATTTAAAATTCTGGTAGTCCGACATGCCCTCGTGCACTGTTCTTCTGTAGGCCAAGGCAAGTCCGAATTTCCAGTGGACGTTGTCCGGGCAGGTTTGTAGAGCTTCTTCGTAAAGATCAATCGTACTCTGTTGGTTGGCTGGTCCGCCAATTCTAGAGTACGAAAATGCCTGGTCAGCTTTAGCGGCAGCAATACCAGCTGCTCCAAGTCGTCTGTGTACTTCAGCTAGTCTAGCTTTAGCAGCCGAGGCATCTTGGTGGGTCAGCTGTAGCAGATGGACCTTGTTAGCCAGGGCCGCCATGTCGCTGTCGTTAGACCATTCCAGAACGTTGTTGTTGGCCTCAAGCGCGGCTTGAACATTGCCCAACTTGAACTCAATCCAGGTGAGGAGGTTACCGTTTCTGATGCGATTAACCACGTCGTCATCTTGCTTCCTTATTTCATCAATGAGTTTAGCTCTCAACGCGCCCAGTTTAATTAGATCAGCACGGCTAGGATCAGGATTGATGGTGAAGGTACAAGGGGAATTCTCCATTTTTTAAATTAGTCAGGCTAATAGAAAGAAAAAAATTACGTTTTTAAAAGTAAAAAACCATTTTGAAATTGTTCTAAATATTTTTAAAAAAATGGCTTTACACAATTTATAGATTGTTTATTTTATACGTGGTCTCTGTATTCCAATAGCGAAAACACCCAATACCTATTCAAATATACGACTGTAAGTTTGGTTTTGGTTTAGTGATAAAATAATACTAGATATATATATGTCTCTAGCTTTAACATTTTACGCTTCAGAAGGGTGAGTTATAATCATAACTCTAACTTATAGAACTAGAAATGTTTCTTGAAGCAGGTCTTTATATGACCTAGGTATGTTTAGCATTGGTAGGTTACCAGATATGGAGATGCATTTACTGATGAGTTCATTTTGTTGTCAAGAATATATGCGGAAAAAAATATGGCTGAAACTTTCGGGGGCACAAATAGTGAATAGGCTGGTGAAACGTTTTTCAAATTTAAATATTGCAGAGAAAAATTACATTACTAGAGACCAACAAATGTGGAAAGCTTTCTGTGGCGGCCCCATGTATCATGTATCCAACAGGGAAAAGCTGATGTAAGAAAATAAGGGGAGGATTGACATGGGATGGAGTAGCACAGCCACAAACGGAAACATAAGGAGAGAGTGGAAGAGGCCAGGGCGACTTGACAACCAAACAGGACCAGAGACATTGGTTTTACAGCACGACAACTTCTCCAAGTAGACTGTGGTCAAGGTCTATGTACGTTTTTCTAAACAACAATTACATCAACAGTTATTTATAAGAAACGACTTTATGAATTCTAAGTCCGTCATCCGTATGATAACGAGATAATGACGCGGACGGGTAGCAATCACCCTAGGTATTCGAGAAAATGAAAAGTACTTTCTCGATGTTAATGTATTTTATTCCATATATATATATATATATATATATATATATATATATATATATATATATATATATATATATATATATTTATTTATTTATTTAATTCACACTTCTGGGGGATGTAAGGAAATTGTTTTGTATACGCAGAGTTTTTTCCGAAGAAAGTCTACCGCACCCCCCCCCCCCGAACGAGATGGATTTTATATAGTAAACATATAGTATATATAGTAAACATACACTTTTACTAGTGTCGCCACCCCCCCCCCCCGAAAAATGTTGACTGCCCCCCCCCCCCCGAAATATTTTCAAGTGCCCCCCCTCCCGGAGAAAAAAAGTCTGGAAGAAAAACTGTGTATAAGGTTTGTAATTTTAAGTGTCGATTAAATCAAAGGTGTGTCCATTTTTTTTTTGTTAAAGATTGTTTTACTTTTTTTTATTCATAAGCAGTTGGATCAACAATCGGAATGAATATATAAAAAATTCTAAAATCACAAAGCCACTATCTAGTGTTTTGTTATATCATTTTAAAACACATTTTTTTTCTCCATACCCTCGCTGAAAGTTTTCAAAAGTTACACGAACTGTTTTAATTACGCATAACACCGTCCAGAAAAACCGTCCAATAATTTGAACAATTATCAAACTATAACCAAGCAAGAAAACAACATATTCCTCACAGATAGATCTACGTTTTACTTCCGCATTTGCTCCAATAATTCTGATAGTGTGGGGGAGGTCTGGTGCTTTTTATACTGGTTTTCTGGAAATAACCATTACGGCCACACGTTTCTTAGAAACAACGTCAGCCAAGTCGAATTTTGTTGTGTCCGACCATCAGGGGCGGAACTACCATGCCGACAGGCCACGCAATGTCAAGGGGGCGGGGGGCATGCTGTTTAGGGGGCCCAAAATCCGACCAAAAAAATGAATTTTGTTTCATAAATTTTTCGTCCACCTTGATAGTGGTTTTGTAAAAAGAAAAAAACAGGTATTCTATAACAGTATGGGACGGAGTGGTCTAGCGGTAGAGAGCTGGACTGCTAACCCGTAAGTCTCGAGTTCGATTCCGGGTTCAAGTCAGTAGACCGTCCCTGAGTCCATCCAACTCTGATGGGTACCTAACTCACATTAGGGAAATTAAAGGCGGCTGGGCATAGTGCTGACCACACTATCTCTTCATATGCCGAGGTCACAGAAACAAGTGAACTCTACTTCACTTGCACTATAGACCGTCAGGTTTGAAATGGAACTTTACTATAACAGTAGTTGTTCTACACTGTAGAATCTACAGTTACCTAACACACATTGTTGCGTATGAAACTATTTTTAAAATCTACATGAGCTGTAGTGTGAAATATAGACAAACGTTGACAAACATCCATGACTTATTGCCCTTTTTTAAATAGTCTAATAAGGGTGCTCATAATACTCCTTTAAATAGGTGTGTACTAAGTAAATTAAAATGCGATTGCTTCTCTTAAGGGTTATTTTAAAAGACATACCATTACCAAAGAATGGTATAGCTATAAAAAAGAAATAGATTCAAAAGTAATAATATTTAAATTTAAAAAATCATAAAAATAAACATAACGCAAGAAACCATTACACAAATCAAGCTTATATTTTGGCAAACAAGACATGCGATAACATTTTAAAACCTTGATTATTTGAGTTCCGAAATAGGTTTGGAAATATATTTGCCTTGCTTGTTGTCTCAGGGTGGTTATATTTTGCAATGAAAGAGGTAAAATTACAAAATTAGGGAATAGATTAATTTAAAATTTAGTGCAGCAGGCTACATATATATATATATATATATATATATATATATATATATATATATATATATATATATATATATATATATATATATATATATATATAGGGGATCCAAATTTTTGCGCCGTGAAGGAATCGAAAATTGAAGCACTTAAACACTCTGTTCCCCCCCCCCTCTTCCCACCCCCCCCCCACCCCCACCCCCACTTCCATCTACTACACCATGCATTAGCTTAAAAAGATGTGTGCCCCAAATTTTGAATTTCTATTCCAAGTTTAAATAATAAAATTATTTTAATGTTATTGTCATGACACTATTGTACTAGTTGATTATGGCACGCCTCTGTGCTTCAAGTTCCGCCATCTTGACGGTGGTGGTAACACGCAATAAAACAACTTCTGATTTTAAATCGAAACTGTTTTCATGAAACACATCGGTAAGACATTGGGAAAGTAAGGCTGATCAATATCCAACCACAAACCGATTAAGTGGATATTGAACCAATGTCTTTATTCCTGTTATTCCTCCATATGGTGTGTTGTCCCCGTCTAAGATAATGTCAGTGTGTTGGGGCTACAGCTGGTGGTCGGGTGTTGGGGCTACAGCTGGTGATCATGTGTTGGGGCTACAGCTGGTGATCATGTGTTGGGGCTACAGCTGGTGGTCGGGTGTTGGGGCTACAGCTGGTGGTCGGGTGTTGGGGCTACAGCTGGTGGCGGGTGTTGGGGCTACAGCTGGTGGTCGGGTGTTTGGGCTACAGCTGGTGGTGGGGTGTTGGGGCTACAGCTGGTGGCGGGTGTTGGGGCTACAGCTGGTGGTCGGGTGTTGGGGCTACAGCTGGTGGCGGGTGTTGGGGCTACAGCTGGTGGTCGTGTGTTGGGGCTACAGCTGGTAGCTGGTGGTCGTGTGTTGGGGCTACAGCTGGTGGTCGGGTGTTTAGCGAGTCTAGGCCACACCCTATTTCTTGAGATATAGAGGTATATGTTGAGAGTACAGAGTATCTGATTGATCACATTGCAAGATATTAAACTGATTGTTATTTTAGAAAGCTACTTTACCATACTTTCAGGCTGTTATTAATGTGTACACAATCGAATGACAAAAATAAATTGCGACCAGCCAGCACTCTAAATTCTTGGAACTGTTTCCACTTTCGTTTTACGGAATTTATAGTCTTCGTTGAATCATAAAACAACGCCCAGCTACCTGTAACCCATGGTCAAAACACAACTGTGCTCCAGGGTAGAGACAGTGTATATTGCAGGGGCGGAACTACAGTACCGCCAGACCCCGCCATGTGGGGTGGCCCACGCCATTTAGGGGCCCACAGCCGACCATAATATTTTTTTTATAGTTAAAAATAAATACATTTTTTTTCATTTTTGACTTGATGGTTGTTTTGTAAAAAGATTACCGTAGCTGCGGTTGGATTATCGTTATTCTATAGACAGCACCCCACATTCTTGTATGTTCTTTTTCCCTTTGTTTTTAAACCACTGTGAAAGCCGAGTCCTCTTTCTCCTAAAATCAAACTTATCAAAGATAAGCAAATGTTCAAAACACTTCCATGACTTATTTCCCCTTTTTTAAATAGTCAAATAAGGGTGCTCATAAGCTCCTTTTAATTGATTTTGTACTAAACAAATTAAAAAGCAATTACTTCTCTTAATTATAATTTTTTTACAAAGTACTTACCAAAGAATGACATTGAATAAAAAGGAAATGTATTTAAAATTAATAATATAAATACAATATGTTTGTATATATATATATATATATATATATATATATATATATATATATATATATATATATATATATATATATATGGGGGGGGGGGGGCTAAAAATCTTTTTGCGGGGTGGCCCTTTTTGTCTTGTTCCGCCACTGGTATATTGTGTTTAATGAAAGGCAATGTGGGGAGTGTTACTTCAATAGCCAGACAGGCAAGTGTTCTTATATGAAACTTTATCCAGATGATGTTATAAAGATCTTCATAGGCCGAACTATGGGCGTAGCTGGGAACAAACAAAGCTTGGAAAGTATAATTAAAATTTGGAAATTTACGGCGTGTTATATATTTTTTAAAATTCATCTGAATTTTTGTCTGAAATAATATTTTGAAATAATTAATTTTTAATCTTTTCTTCTTGGTTTTGGTGGCAATTTTAATGGTCTTGGGCGCAGTTAAGGAAGGCTTAGATCCCTTGAAAATAATATATATATATATATATATATATATATATATATATATATATATATATATATATATATATATATATGTTCCTTTGAGGATTGTTGTGGTTTTTAGTTAAGTAGTCCGCTATTATGGCGCTGATATGATTTCGATTTTACAATGGTTTGTAGCCTGGTTATTGTGTCTTGTTTATATTTTAATGTTATTATTTATGCAAACTTTGTTTTGGATTGTTGCTCCACTTTGCTTTATGTCCTGAATGTTACTTATTATTGTATTAGGGACTATTTTCTTGTGTGTAGCATTGGTTTCTTGGTTCGTGAATGTGGTGTGTCGACATGGAGGGACATTCTGCTGGAATGTCGAGGCCTGTGAGTTGAAGAGTTTCTGTGTCACGTTTATGTGGTGTATGGACGGTGGTCCGAGATTGGGTGTTTTGTTTCGTTGAGTTCTGTTTGTTTTGTATGTCTTGAGTGTTTTATTTTGTCTAGATCTAGATTCTAGTTTTTTTTTTTTAACTTTGGTTCCATATTTTGTTAAATAAATTTTATACTATTGTTAAAGCTTTTTTTTGTTTTCATTATTTAGACTAAGGTTAGGTTATTAACCAGCCTGGGTTTAGCCGGGATTGCACTGACCGGACGGTAGTTAGTTAGATAAGCCTAGAAGGGTAGATTTTAGGTATCCCCCCCTAGCAGGGCTTACAAATTGGTAGCACGAGTGGGGTCAGTGCTTTAGTCTAGTTAAATTTTTGTTTTTCTAGGGCTAGTGTAGCTTAGATAAATTTTTGTTTCTTGATAGGCCCTTTATGGAACGATATGTGTTTAGTTTTTGTTTAGTGTAGGAATCGTTTGTTGTTTAAAACACCCAATTCGGACGAGATGGCAGAGGTGGCACCAACCATCATCATCGTTCCACCCAGGGAGATCCTCATCAGGAAGTTTCATGTGGACAGCCATGGCTATGAGGTGGACCGGTTCATCAAAGAGGTCCAGTCCCTCTGGAGGGCCAGGGGAGACCTCTCAGTAGAAGAGAGGAAGGACCTCCTCTGGCAGTACCTGGGGGAAGCGGTGAGAGAGGAGCTGAGCTGCAGGGGTGATGACCTGCAGCATGACCCAGAAGCCATCCTCAGGCTCCTCCGAGAGGTGTACGGCGAGAAGAGGGGCGTACCGCAGCTCATGGCCCAGTTTCAGAGGGTTGTACAGGGCCAACACGAGTCTGTGAGGGCTTACTCACACCGCCTACACCGGGCCTTCAAGACCCTTGTTGCCAGACAGGGCACCCTGCAGGTCCCTCAGACGAATGCTGAGTTCCTAAGGGACCAGTTTATGGAAAAGCTGAGCCAGTCCTCAGTCAGACGCCAGTTGCAAGAGCTAGTTTTCAGGGACCCTAAGATCCCTTTCCTGGCCATACGGGATGCGGCCATTCGATGGTCTGGAGACGAGGACCCCGGGACAGAACCTGCCTATGTGGCAGCTCTACATGCCCACCCCAAGGAAGAACCCACCCTGCCCAGGTCCAAGCTGGAAGACAGGGTGGACAAGCTTGCAGAGCAGCTATCCGCTCTGTTGACTCATTTGGCACAGAACACTCAAGTGTCATCTAGCCGAAGGGTACCCCGCCGACGTCCAGAGGCGGAAACAAGAATGTGTTACAATTGTAACCAGCAAGGTCACC